TCTCATTTCATCATTGTATTTCTTTTTTTTACCTTATTTGGTGGGACTGGGGTTTGAACTAATGGCTTCATGCTTGCAAAGCAGATACTCTACCACTTGAGCCATACCTCCAGTCCTCTCTTGCTTTTTTGCTTTCTGCTTTTCCTTGCCATCTCTGCCATTCTGTTTGGTCTGAGACATTAGTCAAGTAGGTTCCCTCACTCCCATTGCTCCTAGCCCTCCTACTCTGCCACTTACCCTTCAGAGCTTCCTTTCTCAGGGATCTGATTCATTAATTTAGCACAGTATGGTTACCATCTAGGTAACACACATAGATAAACATTCAAGGTTTCTTATGTGAGATGATAAAAAGGTTTCCCCACTCTGAGGATAGTAGATGCTCAAACTTTTGAGTTTCTTTCCTCCATTTTTTGTGCTACTGAATGGCAGAGGCCTTTGTTCCTGTTCCAGAAAGGGTTCAAAAGGTTGTATCCACATAGCTCAGAGCTTCAGGAGACTTGGCAGTGACCTGATCCAGAGAATCATCTCCTTTGGCTTCCTCTCTGTTTTATTCTCCTGGGTGGTCGGACTGAGCCACTCTTCAGCGTCCGTATTTCTCACCGAGTAGGGTGGAGAATTGTCAGCTGTGTTCACCATTTAGGAGAAATAATAAAGGCAAGGAACAAGGGAAAGAAGAATGCGGGTGTTAGAGAGAAACATTATATTAGATGAAACCACTGAAGAATTACTCATTTTTCTTTCATTTTTGCAAAATTTTATTGATGACAGGCATTGCTGTGGACTTACAGCAATAGATGATATGTGGACCTTAATGGTCTAGAAAGAAACAAGCAGTAAATTTTAAAAAGAGACAGAAGAATAAGATGTATTTAGATAGGGATCACACTATGAAAAAGATAAAACAGAGGGCTATGATGAGAATAGGAGCCCATAGAAGGTCTCTGCAAGGAGGTGAGACTCAAGTAAAGCCCTGAAAGCACAAGAGTGAAGTGTGTGAATATGCCAGGGAAGGGGATCCCAGGCTGGGGGAATAGGAAGTGCAAAGGCCCAAAGGAGCTTGCTTGGGATATTTGAGGAAGGGAAGATAAGCCAGTGTAGCTGGAACAGTGTGATTAGAAATAAAACTCCTAAGTAAGCTGAGGCCAGGTCATTTACAGTGTTCCAGGCTATAGTGAGGATTTTATTTTTAGATTAATTTTTAACTGGCACATAAAATCATACAAATGTTTAATGGGGTAGCATATGATGTACATGTATACATTGTGTAATGTCTCAGTCAGGTTCAACATATCTATCTCTTCATCATTTCTTTATGGGGAAACATTAAAAATCCTTTCCTTCAGCTTTTTGAAATGGACAGTACATTGCTATTTATAGTCACCCTACTGTGCAATAGCACACCAGAACTTCTTACTCCTATCTAACTGTAACTTAGCACCCCCTCCTCAGCCTTTCCTTTCCTTCCCTCCCCGTTACAGTCAACACTTTAGATCTCATTCTAACCTTGATTGGAAGCCATTGGAGGCTTTAGGCAAGATTCTCTTTGTCCCTGTCATGTTATTCTGATTCCAGTTCTACCAGTGGCATGCCTGTCAGTGCTTAAATGTGCTCTTGGCTCTCAACTTGCTGTTAGGCAAAATATGAATAATGATATTTATCACCAAGCACCGTTAAAAGAATTAACTATTGGTTGCAAAGGTTGTGAGGCCTTCAGGTTAAAGGTATGATAGAGAATAATTACCACTGTACTACATAGTTATTTTAACACCTGGCTTTTTTTTTCCTGAAATGTGAAAAAATATATAACCACATTTTAGAAATTTAAAAAAATGTCAGGGAAGTTTTGTTTCCAATTTCTCTTTGGGTTCCATATGCGAGATTTAGGATACCCCTTTCTTCTTTGAAAAACGGTGCTTTTAAATCTTCCCAGAAGTGGAAACCCAACCTATATCATAAAATTTTAGAATGAAAAGAGGTGTTAGAGATCTCCCAATCTGTTGTTGGGGCAGAGTCAGATTTCTATATGATGATAACTTTAAAAACAGTTCCCAAGCTGTGCACAGTGGTGTGTGCCTGTATAATCCCAGGAGGGTGATGTAGAAGGATCACTTGAACCAAGGCAGTCAAGGTCAACGTGGGCAACATCTCAAAAATGGCTTTACTGTGAAAACCACATACTTCTAGTGTGTGAACAATCTCCTAGGGGCAGTAACTCTCAGCCTAGGAAGGAAGCTTTGTTACTTCTCGAAGTTCAATGAAATTATTTTGAAATTATTTGTAGACAATGAAAAAATAAGGAACTTATAGATTATCTGGTTTGAACCTGTCATTTTACAAGTGATACAAGTGAGGAGAGTGAGAGACACAGAGTGGTGAGGACAATTTCACTGCTGGTTAGCAGGAGATCCTGGCTGAGGCCCAAGATCCTAAGTGAGGCATCTGCTCATCACAAGACTCTTTCAGGAATCATGCTCTCTCACGATTCATGACCTACCTACCTCAATGTCACATTTAGACATAATTGCAATGTTACAGGAGGTGATTGAACTTTAATTTCACATCACTTTCCATCTTTATTATAGTGATGTGCTTTGCTAATATTGGAAGCAGCGCTGCTGCAAAACTTCTTTGCTTGGGGAAGCAGCTGTACATGGAAAAAAAATCACAGACTATAATTTGACTCTGTGCCACAAAGGTTTTGGTCTGTATTTTCCTTTCGTCGGACCCTCTCTTTGTTGCTGGCTATGGAGTCTGCAAGTGGATTCTTCCAGTTATGTCACTGAAGCTGTAGACTTGGAGTTTTAGATGTGATCAATAAGTCAAATTGGGTTGCAATTTTCATATTAATTTTTGCCTAGAAAATATATTCTAATTTTTGTCACACATAATTATTATGATAACTTAGTGATGTTTAGCACAAAATAAGTGCTAAACAAATGTTCTTCATTTGAAATGAGCTCAGTAGGTAATTTTGGGTCTTCTGGTTCTGTCATATCAATAGCAGATGTGAACCATTGTCATGAAAACAAATGAATATACATATGTAATCACCATTAACCATGAGCATTTTTCTCGTATATTAATCTAGATTTTTCCTGTAAATGTAAGTGCAAGTTAATTGAATATGAGAGTATATGTATACATTCTCACATATATATGACCTACGGATTAAGCAACCCTAATCCAAAAATCCAAAATTCATTGGTTTTTGGATATTTGGATTTGAATGTTCAACTGGTAAAAATCACTTATGCAAATATTCCAAAATACAAAACACTTCTAATCCCAAGTATTATAAATAAAGGATATTTAATTTGTATGTAAATATATGAAAGGTATAAATATACACACCCACACACACTTGCTATACCTTGTATGCTAATAATGTGACATTTATTTGATTGGAATTGAAAAGCAAGCTTACATTTTCTTCTTGGTCTCCTTTCTGTTGATACCATCTAGCCCACATGGCTACTCCCTCAAGAAGAAGCTATAGCATTTATCAGTCTAACCTGTCAGGGTATTCCTCATACTGATATATTTTTGTTTTTCATTCAAAAATCAGTGGTAGTTAAACAAGTCAAAATGGCTACAAGCATTATTATTGCTTCTACTGGTTTTTCTAAAAAGAAATGCTTTTTTGTTGGGCATGGTAGCACACACTTGGGAAGCTGAGACAGGAGGAACACGAGTTCGAGGTAAGCCTGAGCTACATATGGAGATCCTGTCGGGAGAGAGATAGGAAGAGGAAGGAGAAGAAAGGAAAAAAGGAACAAGGAAAGAGAGGGGGAGGACAGAGGGAAGGAGGAAGGAAAGAAAAAAAGGAAGGAAGAAAGGAGGGAGAAAAGAAAGGCAGGCACTTTAACATGTTTATATATTTTGCTTCTCATTCTATAAAGAAATAAGTTTTTGGTGCTTCAGATTCTTTACCAGAAGTTAAGTAGAGATGATATGGCCAAATAATACTCTTTTCACGATTGAAGTCCTTAAAATAATTAAGGATCTTATTGGATAATCAAATGAGTGATTGAAAACACCAAGCTTAAATCTTAAAGTCAAATTTTGCAAGACAAATGGAAAGGAATGTATTTCCTCAGTAATCACTAGGGGTCTATTTTTATTTAGTCTCTGTTCCTACTTCCATCCTAGAGTGATTTTAGATCCATCATCCTGGGGAACTGCAACTGGAATAAGTTCTTTTTACTATGACAAATGCTTAACATAGCCTGCAGTTTGTGACTTATTGGAAGAAGCATAGATTAGGAAGACTCCTAATCCCCTTTGCTAATCCGATTCATCAGGCTCCAGGACTGTTTTGAGGGAAGAATAGAGGAACAGCATGAAAGAATCTGACTGTCTTCCTCCCTTTCCTCTTTCCTGTGGGCTTAGCTATGAGTTGTACCAATGGGCTACTCCTTAACTGTTGTGAATCCCTCATTCCAAACATAGTCTCATTAGTTCTATTGATTCAAACTCAGTGTTCAGGGCATTCAACAGGTGGTAGGCAACCAATGACTATGTGCTTCCCTGGGAGGGCAGGGGCCTCAGAAGGTGAATGCATTATGATATGCAGGTGAGGTGTAAGCATGCAGTGTATATGCATGTGTATTTAAACTTGGGTTTGTGCTGATATAAACAAAATTAAAGGGATCCAATCATGGTTTACAATTAAATAGGAAAAGGATGTTATTGGTTATAATAAAACTGAATGATGAAAAGGTCAGTCACTCAGATATAAAATTGCTTTAAAAATTTTAAATGTTAAGACTTTGTTATTGCTCTTGTCTCTGTATTTGACTGAGGGCAAGTTACTTGAAGTCACATTATCTTTAAAAACAAAGTTAAGAATGAAGATAAATATAATTCTTAACTTCTCAGGGTTGTTTAAAGATTGTCCAAATACTATGCCTGGCAAGGCCTTTAAGGTTTTTCATTCAAAGAAACTGTCTAAATGCAGTGTGTGTGTAACAAGTGTGTCATTGCTGGGTTTTCCCACACAGGTATTCAAGAGACGGTATTTTTACTTGACTCAACTTCCTGATGGTTCATATATTCTCAATTCCTATAAAGATGAGAAAAATTCAAAAGAATCTAAAGGTTGCATTTACTTGGACGCCTGCATTGATGTTGTTCAGGTAAGGCTATCAAGGAACCTTTCTTTCTCTTTCTCTAAGAGGTTGGACTATTAAGAATCTCGGCACTTTTTCCTTTTGGCTAATGGCATCTCCATGCACCAAAACATCCATACGAGAATTCTCTTCAGTACCCCACTCTCACTCAAAGCCAATACTTAAAGGTTTATTAAGTCCTTTTGAGTCTGGCTCCAAAGTGCTTCTTGAATCTCTTTTCTTTTTACTTTCACTGCCTATTCTCTGGTTCTCCCTTGTATTATTTTTGTCCTAGAGTCTTGCCTTCTTGTCTTCTGATTTATTGTCCATCTTGCTAAGACACAGATTGGGTTCCTCGCTTGTCTTCTCTAAACCTTTTGGCTCTTGATTCAGTGCTTCACAAATGGAGAGCTAAAGCTCTTCCCATGGCACACAGAGTCCACAGTGATCTGGCCTTAACCCCACTGAATAGCCTCATCCCTCCTGCACACCCTTATATATTCTGTGTTCTGGTCACACCAGGCTATACACGTGTGTGTGGTTTTCCTTAACTTTTTTTCTCTTTCCGTGCTCTCCCATTGTGTTCCAGTTTGAACCTTTTAGGAATCAGCTTAAATGCCACTTCTGCCATGAAATACTTTCTGTTTCTTTCCTTGTGTTCATGCTCACCAAGTAGATTGAGCTCCGTCTTCCCTGTGCTGCCATTTTGCTTTTTCCTCTATCATGTAACAGTATCATGCTCTAATTTGTGGTTCTTTCTGCACATTCCTTTTTGGATGACATGGATCATTAGTTTCTGGATCTCCTATAATAATTAGAGGGCTGTGCACATCAGAGGGACTTAGCAAATGTTTATTGATTTGGGTTATTGAGGAGGCATAGACAAAGACAGGGTGGGGAATATAGGGCAGAGAGATTATCTGAACAGGAAATCAATTGGCCAAGAGAAAAGAAGCATTATTACAGAGTCAGGTTGACATGGTCGGTCAACTAGAAGAAGCACTGGGCTGATTAGGATGAGTAAATGTTGGTTCAACAACATCAATTTTACCTGAAGCTCTTTTTCTTTTTTGGCAGTACTAGGGTTTGAACTCAGGGCCTCACGCTTGCATAGCGTGAACCACTTGAGCCATGCTTCTATCCCATTTTGCTTTAGCTCTTTTTTCAGGTAGGGTCTCGTGCTTTTGCTCAGAGCCAGCCTCAGACCATGATCCTCCTAGTTATACCTCCTGCATACCTTGGATTGCAGGTGTGAGCAACCGTGCCCAGCAATTTACCTGAATCTTAATTTTCACAAATGGAAAATAAGATTGCTGTAAGGTTTAAATGTGAAAGCCCTTTTAAAAGTATAAAGATCAAGTGGGAAGCCCTAATTTCAAATCCCAGTCCCACCAAAAAGTATGCAAAGTATTAAGATCAATGTAAATAGAAGGTGCTTTTTATTTGTTTTTGTTTTGTGTGTCCAGTGCTGAGAATGGAACCCAGGGCCTTGAGCATACCTGGCAAATGCTATACCACCAAGCTACAGCCCCAGCCCAAAAGAAAGTATAATAAAAACATTCTTATTTTACTAGAAGAAAGAAAGCATATGCAATTTCTGCATTTTCTCCATTAGCCCTGGTCTGGATTGACCTTTCTTTGTAGTGCTTCCAGGATCATCTATTTGTGATTCCCCCTCCCAGATATTTTCAAGTATATAAATCTTTCTGATTTGCTCTAGTAGTTTAATTTCCTCTTTTTTCTGTGCTTTGAAGATTAGAAGGAAGAACTTTCTTAGTTCTTTGTGAATAACGACTAGGCAGTGGAGAATTATTGATCCATGAACCTTTCTTGAAATGAATGCTGAGACATTTGGGAGGGAGTACTGTTTCTTTTGCCGTAATGTGGTAAAGGAAAAGAATGGGTCGTTGTGCTTGAGGACAGGAGAGGGTCTTTATTTTCCTTATGTGCTTGTATTCACACAGGCCGCTTGTTTTTATGGCAGTAGTTTGACTTTCCTAATGTGAAGGATCCCATAATGCCTTAAATGATAACACTCAAGAAGTCGTAATTAATTTATACCAACTTGGTGCCTATACCACTGTGCTCAGTCCTGAGGAGAATAACAAGATATATTTGATGTAGTCATTTATTATCTGGGAGTGTCTATTCCTTGTTGAAAGAAGCAATTATTTCATGAAAGTATTCACACACATATGTGCTAAGCTGAGTTAAAACTACTGAAATATAATATTTGAAGGGCAACTGAACTAACTGAATGCATGCTTTCTTTTTCCCCCCTCTAGTGCCCCAGAATGCGCCGTCATGCTTTTGAACTGAAGATGTTAGATAAATACAGCCATTATCTGGCTGCTGAAACTGAGCAGGAAATGGAGGAATGGTTGATAACTTTGAAAAAGATTATTCAGATCAATACTGACAGTTTAGTGCAAGAGAAAAAGGAAACAGTAGAAACAGCACAAGGTCAGAATTTTTAAATGATTCATTATTGAGGTAAAGCTCTTGTCTTTAATCCATGGGAATGTCTTTTGTGTAGGGTGAATATGGAACTCTTAATCTTGAAGGTTGACCTGCTTTTTCATTAAAACTGACTCTGGAGGTTGATAGAATTTTTGTTTAAGAGTGCTTGCTGCCTGGGCTCTGACATATGAAATATAACCAGACTGAAACGGATAAGAAATTCATGGCAGGTTTTCAAAAGTCCATTAAAGTTTTCCCTGTACTTTCATAATCAAAATTCTTTGCAATAAATTTAGTAGGAGAGGATGGGTGGAAGAGATAGGATTGTCCTCGTAGGTGATTAGTAGTGGTCTGTATGGTTTGGAATATCTGCTTTTAATGAATTTGCAGATGATGAAACTAACAGCCAAGGAAAAGCCGAGAACATCATGGCCAGTTTGGAAAGGAGCATGCATCCGGAACTGATGAAGGTATGGCTTTCTTATGGCAACTTGCCTTCAGTTGATACAATGCAGGATTAGCGATTAAAGCTAGAATGCTGGATTCCATTTGGCAATGTCATTTCCAAGTTAAAAAAACAAGCAAATTGGTGAATCAGGTAAAGATTTACATGAAAATCTGCACTCCCAAAGATATACTTGTAAGTGCCAACTAACAGTTTTGAAAAGTTTATATTTTTCTAGATACCAAAAAGTACTTCCAGGTTTTTATGAGTTCATTAACTTTATCTTCTACTTTTTATTCAGTTTGATTACTATATGTCATTCATAAAGTATTCTTCTTCCAAGGGGTTAATTATGCAGATGATGTACATGGTATTCAATCAAATAATACATATGCTAATTTCATGTGAAAACCATATATATATTATATATATATATATATAAATAATTTCATCAGATAAAATATTTTAGTGAACAGACATTTGTGTTGTTTACTGTGTTCTCTGGAATTTGAAATGAACCAATTTTGAAAATGTAGATGTGATTGCCGTGCATATCATAGTAGGATATGTATTTTGCCCTTTGTGCTGTATAGTATAATAAGCTAGAAGGTTATATAACCCACTCACTCATTTAAATCCTTGTCAGACCTATTTTTATTTTTACTTTATTCTTCTTCCTGGATTATTGAGTTATGGAAATTTAGAAGTTCCTTTTTTTCTATTTAAAATAGAAAACTTCAGGTTGGGGGAGGTGGCCCAAACAATGTATTCATATGTGAGTACAAAGCTAATAATAATAAAAATTTTAAAAAATAAAATAAAATAGAAAACTTCAAAGCTGTTTTTCAAATTTAGAAACATACTTATGATCCCTTGATCTATACTTTCTGTGATTTTAGTTGTGTCCTGTATTAGTTAGCTTTTTTGTTGCTGTGACCAAATACCTGATAAAATCAACTTAAGTAGGGGGAATTATTTTGGCTCACAGTTATGGAGGGTTCAGTCCACTATCTCTTGGCCTCATACACTTGGGCAGAACATCATGGCAGCAGGAATGAGTGACAGAGGAGCTACTTCACATCATGCCAGACAGGAAGAAAAAGAGTGAGACAGGGACCAGGAGCCAAGTAGAACCTTCAAAGGCAACCCCCCACCCCACTCCCCACCCCTCCTCCTGCAATGACCTCCTTCCTTCAACTAGAGCATACCTTCTAAGGCTTCCACAATCTCCCAAAGTAGCGCCACCAGCTGGGGACCGCTTGCATTCAACACCTGAGCCTGTGGGGGACATTTCATATTCAAGCCATAACATATCCCCTCTCAATCTTTGTCATCCCAGACTCTGCAGCCCATTATGTGTTTCCTAAGATGACAGAATCAGAATTATATATATTTCATGGCTAACTCTATGGATATGTAAAAATATGCTGTTTTCTCATTTATTTCTCTTTTGCACCCAAACTCTCTTGGATTTCTTTTTTATACTGATACAGGATAAAAAATATTCTTGAAATTATGAAGCGGTGCATAGAAAGTATAAAAATCTGGTCTATAGCTTGTTGCAGGTCATAGTGATGGTGATACGTCACTCTCCAGATAAGCAAGTGTCCTTTATCCATCTTAAGTACATGAAAACAAAGAATGGCATACTTGTTTTTGTCAAAGTACAAGTTTCACATAAACTATATATTCAAAAGGTATTTAGTACTACTTTTAAGGAATTAAAGTAGTATTTTATGTACATTTTTAATTTCAGTATGGAAGAGAAACAGAACAGCTAAACAAACTCAGTAGAGGAGATGGAAGACAGAATCTCTTTTCTTTTGACTCGGAGGTTCAGGTATTAATGCTATTTCTTTAAAGAGTCCTATAATTGTTGCTTATTCAGATCAATAACACATGTGAAATGTTGCAGTCATCTTTTCACAGTGGAGAGTATGGGTTGCCTCATATTTGTCTTGTTCACTTTGAACATGTCGCTTGACTAACTCTTCACTTGTTTCTCAATATGTATAAATTAAAGAATGCTTACAGATGCTTTCCGTGTTCTTGGAACCCATTAAGTACAATTGTGAGCTAGTGACAGTGAATATCTGCAGTATAAAGAATGCTAAATCAAATGAGACATTTATTTTCCACATTCAATGTGGGCGTGTAGAACAGATAATTTTCATGTCTGGCTTAATCCAATTTTAAATGGAGGATGGTACAGCAAAGTGCAGTTAATCATGTATACTTTAATCTCATTCAAAAGATTTAGGCACCTTTTGTACTAAGTTATTTGTATTTATAAGATATGTATTTAATTCCATGACATTTTCTAATTAAATCTTGGATTTATTTAAATGGAAAAAGTCTATAGTATATAAGTATTACAAATAGTTTCCCTAACTAAAAATATTTCATGAGAAAATAAAATTGTTTTTTTTGTAATTTTTTTCCTTTTTCTACTTAAGATTTCTAATTAAAATAGTTTTATTTTGTTTAAAATAGATAAGTATTACATAAGCATTATAGTTTTTTCTTAGTGAAAATGTATTATGATAAAAAATAATTTGGGACTGATTTTATTCTTGTTTCTTTTGTGTTTTTCTTCAGTTTTCTATTTGAACTTTTAGATTTAGTTTGAAATTACAAAGTAGATAGTATGTAAAATAATACAAGCATTTTCTTTAATAAAAATATCATATAAAAGTAAGTTATTTGGGAAAAATTGATTTTTAAAAAATATCTAATTTCCCCTTTTCCCCACAGCAGTGTTATTTTGCTTTAGTGTCAGTTGTGTATGTGTTTTTTTTAAGAAAGTAAGAGAATAGTAGGCTTCAGGAATGCCAGTTCTAAAATAATTCATTCAGAAATTTACTTGTTCTAAATGTGTCTGAGCCTTTGATTTCCCCGCAGTGACTGGGCTTTAATTGGACATGTCAAGCTCTTTATTGTACACAAAGGAGGCAATTGACTGTGGTTGAAACTAAATCTAGCATCTTTAAAAACTTGTGGCATAGTGTTTTTGTGGTCATGAAACTGAACTGATTTTACGTTTGACTTGTTTACCAGTGGGCTACAATGAGAGGAAAATGAACAATTATGATGAAGGTTTAAGTGCAAAAAAATTGAATTTGATGTTTATTATGGAACACAGTCTTGCCAGAGTCACCCATGTTACATGTGTCGAATATCTTTCCTAGGTGAAGTGCCATTCTGTAATTTCAGCCTTCTCTTTTGGGCACAGTTTGGTGTAGAAACATGTTTTTTGTTTTGTTTTGTTTTGTTTTTTTGCCAGTGACCTTAGGGCATAAAAATGGCTGAAAACTTTGAACTACCCGGGAAAGGCCATATGTCTCAACATTTGTACTCACAGGCCTCAGGAGGGAAAGAATGAGGGATGGCTGGGGTGCATTGGTCTAGTTTCTCTTCACATTCCACTGTGTAAGACAGAAAAGAGAGCATATAAATGGGTGGAAATTAGAATTGATCTCTGTGGCAATGATTTGCCTCAGCTGGCTGCACAGATAAGTATTCAAGAGGGAGCTGTCTAATCCCACACATTGGTACTCCTTTTGTGGATAAATAGACTCAGAGTGAAAAAATCATACTTTCAAGTACAAATATTATATATTAGGCCCTTTTAAGGTGGATTTTTCAGTGCTACAGGCTATGTCACAGCAGCTATAATTAGCTAAGATTCTTCAGGCATAATACCTGTCTTGGCTTGGATTACTTAGGTAATTGAGAAAATGTCTTGTGTTTCTTGGCTTGAATTTTCCATATTGGCAGTATGCTCTGTTCAAATTCACTCAGTCATTTCCCGTCTACCATGCCTATGGCCTTAATGAAAGTTTAGTAGATTGATTCACAATCTATATTTTTCTTCCTATTTGTGAACACAATGTAAGTCTGTTCAACCATTCTAAAAGAACACATGAGCCTTGGGAGCTGAGAAGGTTGCTAGGAGTTTCTTTGAGGAGAGACAGATTTCTCCCCTACCCAGAGGGATTCCTTGACTCCAAGTATCTTTTGTTTTAACTTGTTTTTATCTTGAAATACCAATATTTTTTTAAAATGTATCTTAGTGGCATCCAGTGTACATCCTCCAGCTCTGATAGAAGCTGAGCTTAGTGTTTATCGGTTTCCTAAGCAGACGCCTCTCCCTCTGTTCATCATTTACATGTAGGTGGTCCCCTCTCACCCTACATGGAAAGCAAATGCCTCATTTGATTTGGCATTCTTTATACTACAGAACTTCACTGGCACTAGATCACAATTACATTTAATGGGTTTGAAGGACAACTGAAGTTCTCTGTAATCTCTCACTCCTCTTGGCCACCTCTCATCCTAGATGCTATTGACATTGAAATCCAGATTCCCAAACCAGGCCTTTCCTTATTTTCCAACCACCTACTAGTATCACATCAAGCTCAACACATCCCAGACTGAACGCATCATTTCTGTTCACCTTCCTCCAAATCTTCCATTCAGTTGTATTTCACAATATCAATATCTGTCTGTTAGATAAGCTAGAGACCATTGTGTTACTTCTGTGGTTTCTCATACCTGTTCCTTTCAATTTTTCTTCCTGTAAACCTCATAAAGGAAACAAATCCTGCCATCCTGGAACATATATTTTTTGGGGGAAGACAAACAATGGACAACTAAATAAGTATGAAAGTAATGTCAGGAAAATCAGAGGGAGGGAGTATAGTCTGTGAGGAAGCATGCAGTTGTCATCAGGGAGTTATGGAAGGTGTCTCTGTAGAAGTACATTGTTGAGCCAGGCACCAGTGGCTCACACCTGTAATCCTAGCTACTTGGGAGGCAGACATCAGGAGGATTATGGTTGGAGGTCAGCCCGGGCAAGTTGTTTGGGAGACCCTATCTTGAAAATATCCAACACAAAAAAGGGCTGGCAGAGTGGCTCAAATAGGTAGAGCACCTGCCTAGTAATCATGAAGCCCTGAGTTCAAACCCCAGTACTTCCACCACCAAAAAAAGAGTTCATAGTTGATCAGGGACTTTAATGAAATGAGGGAGCAAGCCTTGCAGCTGTGTAGGGGAAGAGGGTTCCTGACAGAATAGCCAGTGCAAAGGCCCTGGAGTGGGAGTGTACTTGGTATGCTAGAAAAATAACCAAGGAGGCCAGTATGGTTGAAGCAGACAGATGGGGTGGGAAGGCAAAAGTGGTAGGAGGTGAGGTCAGAGGTGTGAGAGGAGGCAGGGGATCATGTCATGTAGGATTTTGTAGGCCATGGTGTGGATCTGTGACCTGTCTGTCCATTGCCTTAGATCAGATCCCCATTGTCTCCCTTCTGGCTTTCTCCATCAGTGTTTGAGCTCCACAAAGTCTTGTTGAATGAAAACATAAAAATAAGATTTAAATGAAGAATGGGCAGAGAACTGTTGTACTCTGCCACTTTTACTATATTAATCTGAGTCTATATCAGTCCATATTAATGTGAATACTATCTTTTTTTAAAAATCATTTATATTATCTGTTTTATAGAGGTTGGACTTTTCAGGAATTGAACCTGATGTAAAGCCATTTGAAGAAAAGTGTAACAAGCGTTTCCTTGTAAATTGCCATGATTTAACTTTCAATATCTTGGGTCACATCGGAGATAATGCAAAAGGACCACCCACAAATGTATGTATGACTTTTCCTTCTACTTCCTTGGAACCAGCATGTTAAAGAAATACCTTTCTTTCTCATGACTTAGAATTAATTTACTGGATGAAAATTCCTTTGCTATATATTATGATAAATTTGAAATGGAAGAATTTCATGCATTTCTTTTGCCAAAATATGAATACATTCTCTTCCTGAGAGGATGCATGAAAGCTTTACTTACAAGGGCAGATCAAGAAGGCTTTTGCCTTTCAGGAGGGCTATGTCCCAGGAACCTGGAAAATCCTTACATTGTGAATTCTAATAAGAATGATTTGTTTTTTTCCCCCTTTATTGTGCTAGGTGAGTGAACATTGTGGCATTTACAAAGGTTCTTACAATGTATCAAGTATATCATACTTGAATTCACCCCCCTATTGCTGTCCTTTATCTTTCCCCCCACATTCCTGGGGTAGTTTCAGCAGGTATCATTTTTGCACTTACATGCATGTGTACACAGCATTTGTACTATATTTACCCCCACACACACACCTTTCCCCACCACCTCTGTCCTCCCACTGGTACCAACCCCTCCACCCTGGGCAGGACCTGTTCCACCATTCTGTTCTCTGATTTGGTAGAAGAAAAAAAGAAAGAAAAATGACATTTTTGCTTGTTTGAGATAAAAGTAGCAACACAGGGAGTTTCCTTGTGATATTTCCATGTATATATGTATTATAACTCCTATTGGTTCATATCCTCTAATTTTCTTCATTCTACCTTAGTCCCTTTCTTTTGGTGTTTTCAGCCAGTTTAAGAATTCTGTATTCATTCTTGTATGGAGAACATATCAACCATATTCAACTTCTTAGTTTCCTTCTTTTACCCTCCCCCTTCCATACTTGACTTCCCCCTTAGCGTGACCAGTGTTTCATAATATTACTGCATTTGTTTTAGTTCTGTATTCCACATATGAGGGAGAACATGCAACTTTTGGCCTTCTGAACCTGGATAACTTCACTTAAGATAATGTTCTCCAGTTCCATCCATTTACCTATGAATGACAAATTTTCATTCTTCTTTGTGAATGAGTAAAATTCCATTGTATATAAATGCATTTTTTAATCCATTCGTTGGTAGTGGGGCATCTTGGCTGTTTGCATAGCTTGGCTATTGTGAATGGTGCTGCAATAAACATGGGTGTGCAGGTGCTTTTGTTGTAAGCTGACTCACATTCCTTCAGGTATATCCCTAGGAGTGGAGATGCTGGATTGTATGGCAGATCTATTTTTAGTTTTTTGAGGAGCCTCCATACTATTTTCCACAGTGTTTGTACTAGTTTACATTACCACTAGCCGTGTATGAGGGTTCTTTTTCCCCACATCCTCGCCAGCATTTGTTGTTGTTTTTGTTCTTGATGGTAGCTGTTCTAACAGGAGCGAGGTGGAATATTAATGTGGTTTTGATTTGCATTTCCTTTATGGCCAAGGATTGTGAGCATTTTTTCATGTGCTTTTAGCCATTTGAACTTCTTCCTTTGAAAAGGCTCTGTTCAGTTCATTTGTCCATTTTTTCATTGGGTCATTGATTTTTTGAGAGTTTAGTTTTTTGAGCTCCCTGTATATTCTTATTATGTGTCCCTTGTCTAATGTATAGCTGGCAAAGATTCTCTCCCATTCTGTGGGTGGCCTCTTCAATTTAGAAACCATTTCTTTTGTTGAGCAGAAGCTTTTTCTTTTCATGTAGTCCCATTTGTTGATCCTTTCTCATAGTTGCTGAGCCAATTGCGTTCTACTGAGGAAGTCATTGCCTATGCCTATTGCTTCCAGTGTATTCCCTGCTCTTTCCTGTACTAACTGCAAGGTTTCAGGTCTTATATTAAAGTCCTTAACCCATTTTGAGTAGTATTTGTACAGGGTGACAAATAGGGATCTAGTTTCAGTTTTCTGCAAGCAGATAACAATTTTCCCCCCAGCATTTGTTGAAGAGGCTCTCCTTTCTCCATTATATGTTTTTGGCACCTTTGTCAAAAATAAGGTGGGCATAGCTGTGTGGATTCATATCCAGGTCCTCTATTCTGTTCCACTGGTCTTCATATCTGTTTTTGTGCCAGTACCATGCTGTTTCTATTGCTATGGTTCTGTAGTACAGTTTGAAGTCGGGTACTGTGATACCTCCAGCATTGCCCTTTTTGCTCAGGATTGCCTTGGCTGTTCATGGTCTTTTGTGTTTCCAAATGGACTTTAGGATAGATTTTTCAATCTCTGTGATGAATATCATTGAGATTTTGATGGGAATTGCAGTGAACATGTAGATTTCTTTTGGTACTATAGCCATTTTTACTATGTTGATTCTACAAATCCGTGAGCATGGGAGATTTTTCCATCTTCTGTAGTTATCTTTGGTTTCTTTCTTCAGTGGTTTATAGTTCTCCTTGTAGAGGTCACTCACATCCTTTGTTAAGTTTATTCCTGGGTATTTGATTTTTTTGAGGCTATTGTAAATGGAATTATTTTCCTGTATTCTTTCTCAATCTGTTCATTGTTGGTGCATAGAAAGGCTACTGATTTTTGTAAATTGATTTTGTATCCTTCTACTTCGCCGAAACTTTATTTACTGTGTCTAGTAGATTTTTGGTGGAGTTTTTCAGGGTTTTTAGGTATAAGATCATGTTGTCTGTGAATAAGGATAGTTTGACTCCTTCCTTACCTATTTGTATTTCTTTTATTTCTTCTTCCTTTCTTATTGCTCTGGCTAGGAATTGCAAGACCATGTTGAATAGGAGTGGAGAGAGTGGACACCTTTGTCACATTCCTGACTTTAGGGGAAATGGTTTCAGTTTTTCCCCATTAAGTATGTTGGTTACAGGTTCATCATATATAGCCTTTATCGTGTTGAGGTACATTCCTTCTATTCCTAGGTTCATCAGAGCTTTTCTCATGAAAGGATGTTGAATATTATTGAAGGCTTTTTCCGCATTTATTGATGGTCAAGTGGTTTTTCTCTTTGAAGAAGTATGATTTCTTTTGTGGAATTGGTTCACAGCAATGAATAAGTGTCACCAAAGCCATGGTGGGATGCTGATTGTGTGCAGTGTGCTAGCCTCACTCACTGTTCTATAGAATGAGGTTCATTTTGGTCTGCATAGTTATGAGGTATCATTCAGAAATACTTGAAGCTGTAAATGAAAAATGTTTAAGAGGCTGTATTTTATGTTCATCCTTACTTTTGGTTTTCTAGTTTTAAAAATATTGACAGCAACAATTTTTTTCTCTTGTAAAGTGGCTGAAATGCACCAAAGCACTTTTCTGTTTGCAAAGGGTTAATCTTTATGCCATCTGGCATGAAATTTCTCTTTGTGACCAGCTTTCCAGTGCCATCTGTAGGGAGGAGTCATGGCTTCCAAAATTGCTGATGGGGCAAAGCTTTTGTTGAGTAATTTGGTGTTAACTGATATTAGCTTTTATGAAATGTATTGTTTGGTAAGTTATAACATTATAGAAAGGAAGATTTCTTTCTAATCTACAACACTGGCATTATTTGGGAGGAGGGTAGTTTCAGTAAACATGTAGAAAATTAAATTTTGTTCATGGAATCATTGTTTAAATAGTAGCTTTTGATTTCTACTCATCTTTTTCAAAATTCATAACTGGTGAAATTCTTTACACCTGACAAAAGTTAACATTTCATTAAGTCTGTTATCTTGGAATGCTCTTTCTTCGATGCAGATAAATCATAATACAGTTTTAGCTAAATGTTGAGCTCAAAAAGGAACTGCAAGAAAAAAACTGGAAGACTCAAAAAATCAAGTTGCAATTCATGTGCCTCCCCCACTCACATCCCTCACCCAAAGTCTTAGTATTAAAATGTAACTCTTTTCATTTCTAGGTTGAGCCCTTTTTTATAAATCTTGCCTTATTTGATGTAAAGAACAATTGTAAGATTTCAGCTGACTTTCACTTAGACCTGAACCCCCCATCTGTCCGGGAAATGCTGTGGGGTACTCCAGGCCAACTGACCAATGATGGAAACACAAAGGGCTCTTCACCTGAGTCTTTCATTCATGGAATTGCTGAATCTCACTTACGCTACATAAAGCAGGTAAAGAATGATCTTTAGCCTTAGTAGCACATTTGGAACAAGAAACAAAAACAGCCATCTTTGCATTAGTTCATGGTTTCAGGCCAATTTTTATGGCTTTTCATCTCTTAGAAGCTCTGCCTATAAGTATTTTTCTGGTGAGTGAAATTGGAGGGGGAAAATGGAAACTAGTAAACATGCTAATAACACATTGGCAAAGTAACATTTTCAGTGGACCCATAATGTGGATTCAAAGGAACTATTTTGTGAGAGGATGCAGAGACCCACACACACACACTCTTACCCTCTCTAGGTGCATCTTCTGATCAAGGCAGTATATATAGTATTTTCTTTTTTGAAGAAGAATTGACCGTATATTCCTAAGTCTATTATAAGTAGGGAGTTTTTGTTGTAGTTTTGGTGGGGGGATTGGCAGTACTGGGGTTTGAACTCTGGGCCTTGTGCTTGCTAGGCAGGTGCTGTACCATTTGAGCCATACCAGCCCATGAGTAGATAGTTTTAATGGAGCACAAAAACTATTATAGGGGTTCTACTTGAGAAGCAATGGGAAGGAACTGCTGTGTCCCAGTTGTAATGCTCCACTCTTCTGTCCTATCTGGTGCCTTTAGAAAGAGCCTAACAGTTCCTCCACACGCTGACCACTGACCAGACTGGAGGCCGTAGAGATTCAGTGGAACACAATTGATGGTCTGCCCTCTAGACTTTTGTAGCTGAAAAGAAATGATTTCATGGTGTAGAATCAAGTTGGGAAGAGGTATACAAACAAAGATGCTCACATTGTAAAGAGATTGATTTTTCTCAAAATAAAAATGTTCCTTTTTTTCTGATTATAAAGATAAATATATTCCTATGCAGAAAATGCAAATGATATAAGAAGTCTAAAGAAGAAAGTAAAAATCACCACCCATATATAATATTTTTGTAAACATCTTTCCAGACATTTCTTTGTTGTTTATACAAATGCATATATATTTTGTATACTCTTAGAAAATTATGTCATATTCATCCTGTTTTATACCTACTGTTTCCTTTGGTGTCATGTTTATCCTATATTAGTGAATAGATAGATAGATCAATCCATCCATCCATCAGTTACATTCATAGTAAAGACTAGCATGGTATTCTGTTAACTTAACTAGCTAGGATATTTCTGAGTATTTTGATACTATGAAGTAACCCTGCATTGAATGTCTTCATACATATATATTAACTCATTTTTTGAATTATCTCCTCAGAGTAAGTTCCAAACATTGGAATTTTTAGGAGCAAAGATTATGTTCACTTCTATAGATTACCTAGTAGTACAGGAAAACTTTTGTTTTGGTTTTTGAGACAGAGTCTCACCATGTAGCCTAGGCTGCCCCACTATGTAGCTCAGCTGGCCTCATAACCTGCCTGTGCCTCCCAAGTGCTAGGAACAAGCTCTGTAGGAACACTTCTTTATATGTTCTGTCACTGTCCTTGTGGGGCTGTGGACCTGTACTAGAGTTTCCCTAAGTTGTTTCCCTTATATCATCTTCACCTGTTACTCAGACTATAATTGTCACATACATGAACATTCTATTACAATGGCAAAAAGAGATTGAACAAGTATCTGAGAACCTACTATTGAATTACATGTTTAAAATTTCCTGCAGAATACCAAATAAATCTTTTTAAAGTCAAAGATAAATTTATTGTATTGCTTCAGCGTACTCAGCTGTATGTGTGGTGTCGAAAATTTAAATTCTGGCTCATGTATCATCTAGCATATAATCTAGATCAGGAAGAAAATCAACATTTTTGTCATTTTGTTTTGTTGTGTTTTTGAGGTGGGGTCTTACTGTGTTCTCCAGGCTGGTCTGGAACTTCTGAATTGAGGGATCCTTCTGCCTCGGCCTCCCAAGTAGCTGTGTCATATGCCACTGCACCCAGCCTCAATATTTAAAAAATACTTCTTGTACCAGCATTTTCCACTGATGTCTTACGTTCACAATAATCTTATGAAATTGTGTGGTCATTGTTCTTTTACAGAAGCACTTTGAAAAGGAAAGTTTTTTGAAAAAGAAATTACAGTGTAGCAAAGAAATGCATCATAGGAAATAAATCACTATAAAAATGGCATAAAACCCCATTCTCTTGAAAAAAAAAGATTGCTCTCAAGTGCACTGCTCAGCATACCTTCTGCAGGGGCAGCCCGGGCAGTCTGCCAGCCCGAGCTCACAGCTCAAGCAGCACGTTCCTGGCAGTACCAGAAGCCAAGTTCAGTGACCTTGACACACTTTGACGGGCCATCCTAGTAACAACCAGGCACCTAGCATACCTTATTGTATTTAATCCACACAAGAAGTTTAAAAAATTAATATTATTCTCAGCATCCCCATTTCATAGATGAGAAACCTAAGACTTAGAAAAACTGACACTTGTCTAAACCCATAAACAGAGAAGCCAGAATTTGAACCCAGGAAATCTGACTCCTGAGCTGTTTTGTGCCATGCCTGCTGCTTCAGAATCAGCCATTACCCAAGCACATTTGAAGCCCTTTGACTTTGGGGAAATTGCTAGCTTCTTGCACTTTCTCTTGTGAAATAGAAGACTCTTGGAGTCTTCTATTTGGAACAAATGAGATAATGTTTCTAGGATGCTTTGTGAACTGGAAAGCACTATATTAACAAAGTTGCTAATATACCAGTCAGAAAAATAAAATTTGGTAGTGACCCAGTGATGGATTTTTCCACTTGAATTCATTTGCTCCTTCAAAGGACAAGCCAACTATCAGTAATTAGAGGATCTTATAATTGGAAGGAGCCAAGCTAGACAGGATGATATGGTTATCTCACATGCATTCAAAGAAAACTTACACAACTTTGGTTGCTTCTGCATTAGTGCCCTTAAATAAAGTGTACAGGGACTACAGTTTTGGATCCTCCATTTCCTACCTTAACATCCGGAGTAGCAGAGTTCTTTCACTGCAACAAAAGAATTTCTTCTATAGAGTGTAGGTTTTATGTTAGAGCAGTAAAGTATTTTCTTCCATCTTCACTGCAATCAATATGAATTAAGTGTGAGGGAATTGCTCTGTAGTTATATGCAGTTGCATTTAAAAATGGCTGTCTAGTTCCACTTGAGAAATGCACATTAGTACATGCCAAACAAAGCATATTGTATTTATTGTCTCTTTGGCAAAGACAGCCAAAGAGAAGCTAAGCAATAGTGATGATACCTGTACTTAAGAGATTAATAGATGTGAACTTGGTGACAAATATAAAATCCATCTTGACAGGAACTCCAGGAACTTTGAAATCTGTATGAGAAGAAGTTCTAGGAGGATTGGGAGTTTAAAGGCAGCCCAGGCTACAAAAAAATGACCCTGCCTCAAATTTAAAAAAAAAGTGCTACCTATTTCTAGAATCCTGGAAACGATCCTGTGTTTATCGAATATTAACATTATATACTAAACCCACTGCTAGCAATCATTCACCAAACAGCCATATGTACAACGTTACATAAAAGGCTAACCAATGTAATTTTTTCCAGGGAATTTTCTCAGTGACGAATCCACATCCTGAAATTTTTCTAGTTGCAAGAATTGAAAAGGTGCTACAAGGCAATATCACACATTGTGCAGAACCCTACATCAAAAATTCAGATCCAGTAAAGGTATTTATCAGGATTGTGAACATTTCAGTTTAATGTAGAATTTGCCTTTCACTAATATTTTAAACAACACTGTCAGTGACCATCCCCTTTTAATGAAAAAATTGTATTCTCTGAGAATTTTCATATTGTATGTTATATGAGTATGTATGCTAAAGTTTGAATGTGACCTTTTTTCCTTTTTCATGCATGTTCTGTTAATATGACCATCTGATTTCTGCTAGCTTATCAAAATAGAAGCTAAAGACCACATGTACTAATTGACGTGGCTTCCCTTAGCAATAGCCACTCTTCCCCTACTTGCAGCCCTGTGCCAGCCCTAGGATTGTCTGTCAGAGCTGGGGGAGTAAAGATGATCTAGGCCTGTAGTGCCCAAGTGCCAGTCCATTCACTGTCTGTGATGCAGTGAAGACACACGGTGAGCATTTCATCAGGCTCAATGTATTTCATTCAAAGGGCTGCCATTTATTTTGAGATTTTTTTTACCTTTCTTACTTTTTCAATGTTATGCCTTTCATTATTTCATGACTTATTGGTAGGCATTCTTTTTTACTGTTCTGTTTTGTTGAATGTGTTAAGTGGCAAAATTAAAAGTTGTCAGCACATTATCCACATTTCTGGATCATGACATTCAAATGTCTAGAAGTCATCTATCTAACCACATCCTCACTTGTTAGAAATAAGAAAACTGAGGCCTGGGGAGGGAAAGGGTTTGTGGCACAATTCTACTGTATATTTAACAATCTATTGTATGTGACATTATATTGTCTATTCAAAGTGTTTTAAGTAAAAGATACTGAGGAAACATAAGACTAATTTGTGGAAAAAAAAAGTCTCAACAATATAGATAAAAGCCTCCAGCATTCTGTATCCCGAGGAATACATATCCAGCCAGCACTTCCCAGCCTTTTAAGGCTCTATAGGCAGTTTATCTCCTTTGTCATCTTTCATTGCCTGTACAAAGGTGGCTCCTGCCCACACTAGACTAATTGCATTGATTCTTGTCACTTGTGTCTTATCTTGGGAGTAAAAAGGTCATCTGTATCCAGAACAAACTTCTCCCAAGAATGTTGAGTGTTTGTCTGCTGTGTGAAAGGACATGCACATTAAAGCTGCTGTAAAGGTTCCCAGTAGAGGTCTTTGAAACAAAAGTGCCCTGTATCTGTTTTATCTGCCTTCTGACATGGGGAAGGCTCATTAATGAGAAAACAGCAAACCCTTAAGAAATACTTTAGTCTTGGAAAATGGGTAGCTGATGTATGTTGTATTTTATGTGTTGCTCTTTCTTTATTCTTTCTACATTTTTGGTGTTTTATATTGGTAAATTGGGGAGATTATTTTGCTGGATGAGTCCATGCAGATTGAGCAAATCTGAACCTATCTTCTTCTTTTTGACCTTAGACAGCCCAGAAAGTGTACAGGACAGCTAAGCAAGTGTGTAGCCGCCTTGGACAATACAGAATGCCCTTTGCTTGGGCTGCCAGGTTCGTGTAAACATAATCCTGACCCTTCTATTTCAAGTCATCTATAAAATTGAGGGCTGATGCCTATACTAGCAGTCTGTAGTCTGCTTCTGGCAGGCCAGTTGTATCTTTGGATGCTTGGGAGATAAGGCTTGTTTCTCTTAGAATTTGTTGTGCATCAAAGACCCCTTCCAAGACCCTCTCATATTTTCATATGTCTTGATTTAGATAATTTTTCTTTGGCTTAGGTTACTGATCTGACTGACGCCATTTAATTTTATTGCATTTCAGAGCAGAGCTTATTTGCTAAGTGATGGAATTTTTTTCCAGAAAGCTAGAAATTGTAATGAATTATGTACAATATGCTCATTATTTCAGAGTTGGCTGAGTTTATAGTTTGAAAAACTATCACAGAATAATTCTGAAAATGTACTAAAAATTTGATGGCAAAGAATGCAGTCATTAAAAGTGCAACTGTATAATTAATAGATTTTCTTGCTTCCTCATGATAAAGTCAGCCAACCCTTTGGGACCAGTGTATTTGAAATCATGCATTATCTCTACCACTTATGTTATGGTAGTTTGTACTATTTTGTTCAAATCTTGTAAGTGGACATGCAGTGATGATTAAAACATTTCTTGCTTATCCCCAATTTCAAGTACAAGTTCATTGGTTTGTTTGTGGTACAGCCTGTACAGCTTACTGGAACTTCTGGGGAAAGGGCACCATGTTCTGAATAATTCAATCAATTATGTTCGTTGGGTGCTATAATAGCACAAGGGTAGGAGATTCTAAGTTAATTAACTCTTGTATCTGTCACTATTTATAAATCATTTCATTTGGTAGACGGTCTCAATATTTTAAATGCTGGTTGATATAAAAGGCACCATTTTCCTTCTGCTACAGACTGCTTAAAAAATGGTAGCCAAGGATAAGTGAATGGTAAAGAATAGTGGAGTTTAATACATGTAGACATTCTAGAAGGTGAAGTATGCTCGTCAGTGTATGCATACTTATGTAATGCTCTAGCCTGAGAAGTCAATTGCTGCTGCTACTACCTACTGTTATTATTGTTAATAATAGCTATTAAGTGTTGGCTCTGTTCAAACACTCACTGGTCTAAGAGCTTAATGTATATTTTCTTAAGAGGTAGGGAACCATTGTCTCCATCTTGGAGATGAGGAAATTGAGGTACAGAAACAATAGAAAAAAGAAATCTTTGCCCAAGTTCACAATAGCATGTGACAGAGCAGAGATCAGAACACAGGGCACTTGACTTCAGTGCCCACTCTAGACCATTGTGGCATACTGCCCCCCTTTGGGCAGTAGCAGTACCTGCTTGATGCTGTTTTACCAGTAGGAAAATTAATTTTGAAATCTTCAAAAAAAGGTCTGATGCCCAGTTCTGATGAGGAACTATGCTATTTTTTTCTTTCCTGAATTATTTCCACTGTCAGCAGCAGCAGGAATTCACTCTAAAGGCTTGACTTCAGTATTTAAAAATGTATGATAAGCCATTGTTACTGGAAATACAGGAGATATACAAAGAAGTAAGAACAATTGAGTTGATGCCTTTAACTACATCTTCAGAGGCTCTGCCAGGAGGAATTACATTTCTAGTTATAGCTACTTTCAGATTTCTGGGTGCTTGTATATTGTTTCCCATTTTGGTAGTAAAAAGCTGCTTAAAAATGGAAGAGGAGGAGAGGGAAGGAAATAATCCAACTTCATATGACTATACATACATAGTAAACTCTAAATTTATCCTAAAGATCTAATTTTATTTTTATCAACTCTATTGTGATATACTTTACCTTTGATGAAATGCATATGTTTTAAATGTCCATCTTAATGAGTATTCACAAATGTAATCAGCAATCTAACCAAAATATAGAACATGTATATCACCACAGAAAGTTTCCTCATGGCCCTGTCCAGTCAAATATCCTACCCTTGCCCCAGACAACCACAATCGGATTATCACTGTAGATTAATTTTTATTTGTCATATCATAGACATTCATATAAATGGACTCATGAAGTATGTATGCTTGTGTTTGGTTTCTTCTGCTCACTATGTTTTTTAGATTTGTCATTGTATGCATTGATAGTTCATTTTGAGAAGTCTTTCATTGTATAATATCCCACAATTTGTTTATTTACTTGTTGATAAATATCTGGGTTATTGTCAGTTTGGGGCTATAACAAATAAGGCTGCTGTGAATATTCATGTAACATGTGGAAACATGTTTAGGAATTGGAATTATAGTATCAGAAGGTAAATTTTGTGAGAACCACCATTCCCAATTAGTTCTACCATTTTACATTTTACAGTGTTATCTGGATTTGTCACTACTTTAGGATTTTTAAAGTCTTTCTATTGCTGTTTTAGACCCATTTTCAAAGATATTCAAGGTTCTTTGGATCTGGATGGAAGATTTTCTCCTTTGTATAAACAGGACAGTAGCAAGCTTTCAAATGAAGACATCCTCAAGTTGCTCTCAGAATACAAAAAGTAAGTATGTGGCATTACTGCAGTAAATGAATGTAATAAAGATGAAATATCAATTTCTGAAAATGATGAATGTGGGCTATGTATGGGCAAAACGGAATGCTTAAAATTTTAAGTTTGGCTGTAGGGTAATCAATGTATTTAGCAATCATAATTTTTAACCCTAAAATATTCTTACTTTATACCTAGGCCAGAAAAGACCAAATTGCAGACTATTCCTGGGCAGCTAAACATCTCAGTGGAATGTGTTCCTGTGAATTTATCAAGTAAGAACATACTGCAAATAAATCTTGAAGGCTATGTTGAATCTTGGACATTTGTCTTTTCAGTACTTTTCTTGAGGTTTATGGGGTGTATTAGTTTCCTACAGCTGTCATAACAAAGTATTGTAAATTGCATGGCTTAAGACAACAAACACTTATTGTCTCGCAATTCTGGAAGTTAGAAGTCCAAAATCAAGTTACTGGCAGAGCCATGCTCCTTCTGAATGCTCTAGAGAAGAGCCATTCCTTCTCTCTTTCTAACTTCGGGTAGTATCTGGCTGTCCTTGTCATCTCTTAGCTTGCAGCTGCATCATTCCAGTGTCTGCCTCTGTCATTATGGTCTTCTAAGGATGTAGGTCATTGAGTTTACAGCACATCTTAATCCAGTATGTCCTCATTGTAACTAATCGCACCTGTGAAGACCCTATTTCCCAAATAACTTCATATTCTGAGTTCCAGGTGAACATGAATTTTGGTGAATAGTTACAGATTAAGAAGTGAATAAAGTTGATTTTTATCAGATATTCATATATAATTTCATCTATTAGTGTATGATATTATAGGTAGGGCCTATCAGTTTCTGCTGCTTTTTTTATTATTATGCTGAGTTGGGGGTACATTGTAGTACCCACAAAAGTTCTTACAATATAACAAATATATTATACTTGAATGCACCCCACACACACTATTCTCCTTCATCTTACCTTCCGCCATTCCTGGAATAGTTTCAACAGGTATCATTTCTCCATTTACATATATTTGTACACAGTATTTGCAGTATATTCACCCTCCTACACCCTTTCCCCACCTCCTCCCCTCTCCCACTGGTACCACCCCCCCCCAAGGCAGGAACAGTTCCGCTCCTCTGTTCTCCAGCTTTGTAAAAGAAAAAAAAATGACATTTTTGTTTATTTAAAATAGCTACACAGAGACTTTCCTTGTGACAGTTCCTTGTATATATGTATTGTAATCCGAATTGGTTTATCGCCTCTATTTTTCTCCTTTCTACCTTACTCCCCTTCTTCTGGTGATTTCAATAGGTTTAGAAATTCCATATTCATTCTTGTATAGAGAATACATCAACCATATTCACCTTCTTAACTCCCTTCTTTTATCCTGCCTCTCTTATATGTGACCTCCCCTTAGCGTGACCTATATTTGGATTAGGTCTATATTCCAAATATGAGAAAAAACATGCGGCTTTTGACCTTCTGAACCTGGATAACTTCACTTAAGATGATATTCTCTAGTTCCATCCATTGACCTGCAAATGACAAAATCTCATTGTTCTTCGTGGCTGAATAAAATTCCATCATATATAAATACCACATTTTCTTAATCCATACATCAGTAGTGGGGCATCTTGGCTGTTTCCATAGCTTAGCTATTGTGAATAGTGCTTCAATAAACATGGGTGTGCAGGTGCCTTTATTGTAACCTGACTTGTTCCTTCTGGTATATCCCTAGGAGTTGGATTGCAGATCTATTTTTATTTTTTTATAGAGCCTCCAAATTGTTCTCCATAGTGGTTGTACTAATTTATATTCCCACCAACAGTGTATAAAGGTTCCTTTTTCTCCACATCCTCACCAACATTTGTTGTTGGTGGTGTTTTTGATGCTAGCTATTCTAACTGGAGTGAGGTGGAATCTTAATGTAGTTTTGATTTGCATTTCCTTTATGACCAGGGATGGTGAGAATTTTTTCATGTGTTTTTTAGCCATTTGGACTTCTTTCTTTGCAAAAGCTCTGTTCAGTTCATTTGCCCATTTCTTCATTGGATCATTGATTTTTGGAGAGTTTAGTTTTTTGAGCTCCCTATATATTCTACATCCCTTGTTAGATGTATAGCTGGCAAAGATTTTCTCCCATTCTGTGGGCAGCCTCTTCAATTTAGAAACTATTTCTTCTGTCGTGCAGAAGCTTTTAAATTTCATGTAGTCCCATCTTTGCTGTGGAAAAGTTTCTATTTCTTTTTTTTTTTGTCTGTACTGGGGGTTTGAATTCAGATCCTCACTTGCTCTAACACTTGAGCCATACCACCAGCCTTTTTTGCTTTAGTTATTTTTCAAATAGGCTCTTGCTTTTATGCCTGGGCCAGCCTGGACTGCAATTCTCTTTATTTATGCCTCCCATATAGCTGGGGTGATAGGTGCACACCGCCACTCTCAGCTTTTTATTGACTAAGATGGGGTCTGTCTCATCAATGTTTTGCCTGGGCTGATTTCCAACTACAGTCCTCTTGATCCTCTTGATCTCTGCCTCCTGAGTAACTAGGATTATGGGTGTGAGCCACTGTACCTGGCTGATGAATTTCTATTTCTATCTATTAAGAGACCAAAAAGGAAGAGAATTTCTTATGTAAGGACTAGAATCTAGGATCCCACCAGAAAAATAGAGACACAAAAGACAATTTTCTTGACATAAAATGAAATTGGCTAGGTAATAATTGAAAAATATTCAATCTCAGTAATAATGCCAATAATGCAAGTTTAAACAAGATGTTTTTGTTCATCAGTCAAATTTACAAAAATGTTTAACGTGAAACTACTGAGCTGTGGGTAGCTCAGTGGTCAGTACATGATGTAAGTCCCTGGGTTTGAAACCAAGCACAATAAAATAAAATTAAACTAATTTTTGCCAGGTTTTGGCTAAGTACCGTCGCCTATCATCAGGAGGAATACAATTTGGTTATAGATATCTGTAGGTGTCTATAACTAGAACATACTAATTTTGAGATTCTATCTACTGATTCATTCACTGAATAAGTATTTATTGAGTAAAAATGTACCTATTAGGTACTTTCAATGTGTGCAGTTTAAAATCCAGAAGGACCAACAAGAAAACAAACAAGTAATTTCAGCTTATAATATGGATGGGATGCCTTATAGAGGGTGGCCAGGGAAGGCCTCTTTGAAACTCAGGAACTGAAGAAGGGGGAGAAGGGCCCAGGGTGTGCTGCTTGGAACTGCACATTCCAGGCCACAGGCATCATGTATGTTGAGGTAGAAGCAAGCTTGGTTTTTTAAACAGAAAGGAAACAAGTATGGCTATAGTGTAGTGTGTGATGGAAGCAATGAGATAAGACATGAAGTAGGAAAGCTCAGGTCATGAAGGGAATTGTATAGACTACGGTGATGCCTTTAAAAATTGTATTTTATTCTAAGTACAAAAAGAAGTCATTCAGCTGGGCACCGGTGGCTCATGCCTGTAATTCTAGTTACTCAGGAGGCAGAGATCAGGAGACTCATGGCTCGAAGCCAGCTCAGGGAAAATAGTTTATAAGACCCTATCTTGAAAAAACCCATCACAAAAAAGGGCTGGTGAAGTGGCTCAAGCGATAAGAGCACCTGCCTAGCTGAGTTCAAGCCCCAGTGCTGCTAAACTTATTGAAAGATTACAGGCAAGGAAGTGGCGTCCAATTTGCATTTTAAACATCTACGAGTACAATGGATTATTTTTTCCTAAAGAAAAAATTTGAATTATAGGCAGGCATTATGCATACAGATGTTCTTTGTAATGTTATTTATATTGGGGGAAAAATTGGAAACAACCAGAATCTAACACTGACAGTGTGCTTAAGGCAATTATGGCACACTAATACCATGAAACTTTATGAGGCCATTAAAACTGATGCTTACAGTTTGTGGAATAAGACATCAGATAAAATGTCAAAAATCAAACTTACCATCTGTACATATAGTAGGATTTTTATTTTACTACATGAAACATACACAGAGAGACGAGTAGAAGAAAATACACCAGCGTGTTACTAGTATTTATCTCTGGGTAGTGGACTGATCAATTGCTATTGTGTATCTTTATACCTCCCGGAGTTCTGTTATAAGTATAGATCACTTTAATAATCAGAGAAAAACGAACTCAACCAAAAATGCTGTGTCCTCAGGTCCAGTTCACCCAGGGTCTTCCTTGTCCATCAATATGGCTCTGCAGTAAGGACAAGCAATCCTACAGCCCTAAGTATTTGAAGAACCTTTACTGCAGTGGCTATTCCAGTAACATGCTGGTAAACTTCTCAGAGCCTTTGTATTGTTCACGTTTGGGAGTATTGAATTTATTATTGGTAACACATCATAAGATCTGTAATTTCCAAATGCTTCCATTATTTCTTTGGTGAAAATTTGCACCTGCACCGAGTTAACTTTTCAAAAGTGACTCGCCATGAGCTAATTGGAAGCATAAATTTACCCTTACTTCTTTCCCTGATACCAATAAAAATTTGCAGTGAAAGCTAAATTGCAGCCACAGGAGGGAACATGTAATGGATTTCTTTGCAGAGTTTAAATTTGTCAAAATTATGATGTGTTATATTTGGCAAATCACTCGACATTGAGAATGAAATAGCAATCCACATTTGGTGTGAAGGGGTCCACAAGAAATCAGCACCAGGTTACTCTATCATGCTTTTTTGGGTTCTGAAAGTGGTTGGTTGACTTTTTCTCACCTCCTAAGAATTCTGTTTTTAAATCACTCTTAGAGAACACGTGTTTTTTACAAGTGCAGGAATGTGTTAATGATTGTTAAATTGTATGCTCTTTCTTTGCTTGTTTACTTTTTCCTACTATAGACTGTATTACTTCTTCATATGTGCCCCTGAAGCCTTTTGAAAAGAGTTGTCAAAATATTACTGTGGAGGTTGAAGAGTTTGTTCCAGAAATGACAAAATATTGTTATCCATTTACTATTTACAAAAATCATCTATATGTCTATCCTTTGCAATTAAAATATGATAGCCAGAAAACATTTGCCAAGGTAAGCAGTATAAACTATACATTTTTGGATAAAATGTTACTTTGCATCTTTTCATTGTGTGACTCATTTTGGACGATTAATCATTTTAGGCAAGGAACATTGCAATCTGTGTGGAGTTTCGGGATTCAGATGAAAGTGATGCTTGTGCGCTAAAGGTTTGTTTCTGACATTGATTAGCATACATTTTTGGTAGAAATAGTAGAGATGGAAATTCTGGTACTTGGTAGTGTCATGCTTTAAGTTTAATTTATTTAAACATCAAAAAGGAAATGTAGTATTTTCTATAATAACACATAAACTATAAGGGTTAGTTTAAATGTTAATGTATAATAAAATGAAGTGGGAATATATATAGCTATAAAATGGGTAAACTTGGGCCGGAGATGTAGTGAAGTGGTAGAGTGCTTGCCTAACATGTACGAAACCCTTGGTTCAATCCCCAGTACACCAAAAAAGAAAAATGGGTAAGCTTTACATGCTAGGTTTTAGCATGTGCCCCACTTTGATTTTGTACTGCTCCAATGCTCAACTACAAGGTCATTTTTTTATGACTTGATAGTTTATAATGGTACCATCAGGGGGCCATAAACTCCTTTCTCCTTGAAACCTGAACAGGCTTTTTGAGCTGACAGAAGCACAGCATGACTGCTTTGATCTGAGATCTGACTTCTACTCCATGACTGCCCAAATGGTGCTTCCAAACTTGGGTTTGTGATCTCTGAAAAGCAGAACCTCAGTATTATCTGATGCAACAATCTTTAAATACCTGTCACATCTCAGTACCTTTACATTTTTACTCTTTATCACTGGGTTTTACTTTTTGCTCTTTAGCCCATTAATCAGAGACCTGAAAAAGAAGCCAGAGAACATGAGGCCATTATGAAGTGTTTAGCTGGCTCCCTGCTTCTACCTTGAGCCTAAATCAGACAAATGGTTGGCTAGTCTTCTACTCAAGCCCCCCAGGGAAAAAGGCTGAGTGTTCCCAACTAAATCATTGAATGTTGCACAGCCCCAACCTTTGAAAATAGCTTTTTTTCACAGAGAAACTTAAGTTAAATGAAACTAGCTGGCTTAAATGCAGTATACTTTCTCTGATTCTCCATTTGGCAGAGATGAGGACTTTTCCTTTTCCTCCATGAAATATCCTTTTGTGTACTTAGAGATTCTGAGCAGTTCTTCAAAATTTCCTTCATAACCGTATTTAAGGAGAGTTGGATATGCACTCAAATGGAGTCTCACTTTCATTTCTTAGTTGGCCTAGAATCTCACTCTGGAGTAACAGCATGCTGACTCCATATTCATCCTTGAGTTTTATTAGGCCAATGGAAGTGAAAAGCTCACATATAAATGAAATTGGATCATTCCATGGAACTATAGAAAGCCTTACATTTATTTTATTGGTGTAAAAGAAAGCCAATGATTTTTAAAAGGTAGATCATAAAGTGCCACATTAAAAAATGTTGGAGAATAGTAAGATGGTATATAGATTAATAGACATTCAATTTTTAATTCCTTTAGGCCATAAATGCTTGTGCTGGATTTTGTTGTTTTTTAAACTCTTCTCTCTGCCCACTGAACAATGAACATCCAAAAAATGTTGCTGACTAGCTGAGAGGATGCCTGTCATAGTAAGATACCCAAGTGGCAGGAGAGAAGTAAGTTTTACCAGCCTGGCCTGAGATGGTTTCCCTTCCAATTGATAAGAAGTATTTAGCTTCTTACTGTCAACTTGTTTGGAATTGCATTTCTTGATCACCAGAAGTTCAAAAGCATCAAGTTAGGCACGGTCCAAAGTGGTATCTGGAGTGACTGTGTTAATACTCAGAACTTAGAGGCTGAGGGTGAGAGCTGAGTGGACTCTACCATGGCCCCATGCTCACAATGTCTGTACCTGTATGTGTTTCCATAGCAGCCCATTTAAAGGACTGCATTTGGAGTGGTGACTCTGTTTCCTTCTTTTGCAGTGTATTTATGGAAAACCTGCAGGGTCTGTTTTCACCACAAATGCATATGCTGTTGTCTCACATCACAACCAAAATCCAGAGTTCTATGATGAGGTAAAAACATACATTCCAGTTTGTAAAATGCAGTGGTTGCTATTATTTTTCTCTTCGAATCATTTCCATCATGTTATCTGCATTTGCAATTACTGTATGCTTTGTTTCATGAAAGCAGAAAATGTAACATCAAAACAAAGGGCTCCTGCTTGCTTGGTGCCCGCTGATGACAGTAAAAGATTTGCCCACACATTTAAGGACCTCTCTGAGTTGAGATAGCAAGGTGGGAAAAAAACATCAGAGTAAAGATAGGATTCTAGCCCTCCTCACTTTGACCGCACTCCTCTGTGACACTGAAGAAATGGCTTCCTCTTTTTGAGGCCCCATTTCCGCAGCTTTAAAATAAAATCAAAAGAACTTTTCCGAAGGCTCTTCTAGCTCTTTCCTCTTGTAGTCTCATGTGGTAGGGGGCAGCTTGCCTGTAAGTGAAAGCCTTTGACAGACACAGCTGCACAGCTGGGCCACCAGAATCCCACTGGCTTCCCCGCATACCTCAGTGGAAAACAGGTAAAGGGGAGTGGGTGGTCTCCCCTCCTAGTCTCTGTGTTCCCTCCTAACCCTGTCTCTGTCTCTCTTTCTTTCTTATTACTTCTCTGTCTCTATAGTTCTTTGTACTTTCCAGGGTGTCTCTGTCATAGCCTCTTCTAATCTGTATGTATCTGCTTATCCAAATGTGTAGACTGCTTTTGAGTCCTTCATGTTTCTGTAGAATGCAAATGGTCATCCCAGGTCAGAGATGCTCTGCTGTTTCTGCATCTCAGTCCTTGTGTCTCCATCCCTGGCTTGATCTGAAACCGTCCTGCCTGCTATTGTGATTTCCCCTGGTCCACCTGCTGTTGTATGGAGCTCTAATATCCCAGCGTTAGGCCTCACTCATTCCTTTCTCAGTCCAATGACCCTAGTTTCTTGAGGGAAGGGGAGGGTGGTAGTGGTGACTTGCATTGTTGCCAGCCAGGGAGGATGTCCATATTTATGTGCAGCCGAGCATTACATACCCATATGGTATGGATGCTGTGAACAGGCATGTTCTCTAGTGAAAAATACCTATAACAGACCATAGTTATATTACCAAAAGCCATGCCTCATATGAATGATAATTGAACCAGATGTCCATAACCAAGCTGTTTAATATGTGCATCTCTACAACCAACTCCAATAAGTGCAGAAAACTAGATCATGTAGTAAGTAATCCATGTTGTTTCCTGGATGCTTGACATGAATAGATTTTTTGATCATTCACCATATATTGACTAGGAAAGAGAAATTGTTTGTATATGTACCTATATGGATATGTGCATGTACATTGAGTCAATTAAATCTGTAATCTGTGATTTGTCTCTTTCATATTTGCAGGAAGTATTAAAAACATTCAGTTGGTTTCTGATTAGAAAATTACTTGAAATACTTTATTATATGCATTCATTTTTAACTAAATTCCAGAATTATAGGTGACAATTTTTGTCTCTTTTATTCAAGAGTAAAGTTGTATTTTTGTACTAGAGTAATTTATATGAACTATAATTTGTGGATACCATAGTACCATAGTAACTTTTTGCAAATTTATTTGTAAGGACTTAATTTTTCATACAAAAAATGAACAACTTAGAAAAAATAGCCTTTCAAATTCAGTGCATACTTTATTTTTTTTATTCGTTTATTCACATGTGCATACATTGTTTAGGCCATTCCTACCCCCTACCCCTGCCCTATCCCTCCCCCCCCAACCCTCCTCGCCTCCAGGCAGAATCTATTCTGCCCTTGTCTTATAATTTTGTTGAAGAGAAAACATAAGCATAATAAAGAAGACAAAGCGTTTTTGCTAGTTGAGATAAGGATAGCTATACAGAGAGATTCCTAGCATTGCTTCCATGTACAAATGTGTTACAACCCAAGTTGATTCATCTCTAACTGATCTTTACACTGGTTCCCACTGGTTCAACACTGGTTCTTGTGTTGACCTCTGTCGCATTAAGATTTCTGTATTAGTTCCTCTGGAGTGGAGACATCAAACGCTTTCATGTTTTGGGTTTTCTACCTATCCCCATACCTCCCGTGTGTGCTCTCCCCTTATCATGTGATCCAAGTTCAACCACATTGCTGTATTTGCCCTAGATCTAAAGACCGCATATGAGGGAGAACATACGATTTTTGGTCTTTTGGGCCAGGCTAACCTCACTCAGAATGATGTTCTCCAATTCCATCCATTTACCAGCGAATGATAACATTTCATTCTTCTTCATGGCTGAGTAAAATTCCATTGTGTATAAATACCACATTTTCTTAATCTATTCGTCAGTAGTGGGGCATCTTGGCTGTTTCCATAACTTGGCTATTGTGAATAGTGCTGTAATAAACATGGGACTGTAAATGGATTGTACTCATTAACTCTGATTGGGTTACTCAGTATCCTTGGGATGTGAGGATGTGGTTTTGATCTAGCATTTTATAAAATCCTGCTGCAAAGTTGAAGCCAGAAGAATTTATTGGCCTCTCCAGCAAAAGTACTAAATCATCCCTCACAACCCAGGAGAATATTGTCAAACGGAAACTGACCAGAAACGCATTTGGAATATATTTACGTGGTATTCGGCTACTTGGCCTGATGTTTAGGAAGTATTTGGAACAGAATGATGAAACTGAACTAGATGTCTGACAGTCCAGCTTGACAATTAAAACAAAGCAAAACAAAATACCATGTGTAATTTTTCTGTCATTTCAGATTAAAATTGAGCTTCCCATTCACCTGCATCAAAAACATCATTTGCTTTTCACCTTTTATCATGTAAGTTGTGAAATTAACACAAAGGGAACAACCAAAAAGCAGGACACAGTTGAAACACCAGGTATGTGAGTTATTTAATTTCTTTTAATTTTTTTTGTGGTGTGGGGAATCAAACCCAGGGTTGTACACTCTTTAGATGTCTCTCTACAGCTGTCTGAAATGGAACTGTCTGGGATATAACCTCTTTTCATCAAGCTGTAGACCATTTTCCCCCTTGAACAAAAAGTACATTTCTGAGTTTAAAAGTTCCTTGATCACAGTGATATACACCTGTAGTCCCAGCTACTTGGGGGGCTTAGGCAGAAAGATCACTTGAGCCCAGGAGTTTGAGGCCAGCCTAGGCAACATAGAAAGACCCATCTCCTTGCCAGAAGAATAGTTCATTGGCAAAAAATGAGTTGTATATGGATTTTATATCCCTTATACTGAGTATCATTGTCCTCACATCCCAATATGCTTGCCAATGTGCTTAAACTGCGATAAGCAACATAAAGTAATATTGCTGTTCTCAGAGGGAAACACATATTGTGATACAGTATTGTTATTTCTTTTATGTAAATTTGCCCAGCAACCAGAATTTTCCAGTTCTGCTTACTGAGGAAGAGGGAAGTGAGCCCAGAGCCAGGGACATCTGTGAGCCGGAGGGAGGTTGGGGGCTGCCTGTTTCTAATGAGAAGAGAACAGATTTAATGAAGTTGAATAAGCTTTAGTAGAGAAGTGCAAGTCCTGGTCCCATTTCAGCAAGGCTTTAGATAAACCAGTGGGAAGCAGCCTTAGGAGACATTGAAGGCCTGCAAGTATAGCCCATGTCACACCCACTTCATGTATGTCGTGTCCTGGGATGCAAATCAAGCCAGCCTGGATCAATCAATCAATCATTCATTCACTCATTCAGCAAATATGTCTGTGTATTTATTATGTGCAAGATATTGTAGTAGGTATTATGGAGAATACAATGAAGAATGCAACACAGATCTCAACTTCAGTGAGCATATGATCTAGTTGGGAAAGTGAGTCCTATGTAGACATATACAGGATAGAAAGTGGTGATTGCCAAGAAAGCCATTCTGTGTGAACTCAGAGAATAGTGAGTTATTCAGCTGGTGGAAAGACAAGTAGCTGATAGTTGAGGAAGGAAGTGAAGGTCCTAAAGGATATGCTGGATTCTGGGATGAAGGAAGAGCTTGTAAAGGGTTAGCATACTGAGGGGTAGCATGTCAAGTTAAAAAGGAGGCATCAGATTGTGGAAAGCCTGGAATGCCAGGCTGTGGATTTGATTTTATTCTGTCACCAATATGGTACTATCAAAGGTTCATAAACACTAGTAAGAACTGTTGTGGAAGAAAAGGAATCAGGCGGTAACGTAAAGGGCAAGGAAATTTGGAGCAGGAAGCAGGAAGGTCAGAAGAAATACCAGTTAGGGAGCTTTTTCAAAGGTCCAGAAGAGGAAAGAGGCCACATTGTGATAGTGTCAGGAAGGCACAGAAAAAGGGAATTACAGAAAAAGTGTAAGTCTCCTTACTATCTATGCATTCCTCATCCATGTATTCAATCAACTGTGAATTAAAAATATTTTTAAAGTTGGATCTGAACTAAATATGTATATACTGTTTTCCTTCTCATCAGTTCCAAAACAATGCAATAAAACAACTATTTATATTGCATTTACATTATCCTAAGTACTATAAATAACCAAGGAATGATTTCATGTGTATAGGAGGGTGTGCTTAAGTTACATGCAAATACTATAAGAGGGACTTGAGCATCCACAGATCTTAGTATCCATGTGTGTGTGTGGGGGTCTTGGAACCACTCAACCTCCTGTGGATTTCAAGGGATTATTATATATTGGACCTGGCATATGTCTGGATACTATATAGGTGATACAGAGTACATACTGAAGTGTCAAAATTGGGTGCTTGGAAAGAAGATATTGTCAGTAGCAGAACTGTGGATAGGCATGGTGGGTTGGGGACTGATGGTGAGTTTGAGACCTCTCAGTGATGCCCAGCAGGCAACATTACTGAATATTAAGGCATTTCCTTTGGGGATCGTATCATCCTGTTTCGTATCTTCATAGAAATTCCAGTTAGTTCATGGTAGGGACCTGGAGAATTGAGAAGAAAACAGGCAGAACAATGAGAACTCATGAGAGTGTGTACCTCCTCAATGATAAATTATGGTTCCTTTGTCCAGATCTTAGACAGAAGTGGGCAAGATGTTCAGTGAAGCATGAGGTTATACTTCATGCCACTCATCAGTTTTAACTGTCCATCCTTTAAGTGGCTTCCTACCTTTGAGCCAGATGGCATGCTTGATACTGTATTTTTACAGCCTCCAAGTGCTCTATATGAGTTTTGACTAAGGGACCCACTTGTCTATGGTTTGATAATTCACAGTACAAAAATGTTGCCAAGCAAACTCATAGAGACAGAAAGTGGATTTGCATTTGCTGGGGGTTAGGGAAAAGAGGAAATGGGGAGCAACTACTAAGGGCTGTGGAGTTTAATTTTGGTGTGGTAAAAATGTTCTGGAATTAGTGTTTATAGAGACACAATTGCAAATATATTGAAACCCATTAAATTGTATACTTTAAGTGGATAGATTATAGTCTGAATTATCTCTCAAAATTTCTATGAGGAAAAATGTTGCCTAAGAACAAGAAAAACATTTTCCTTTCCTTTTCCTAGTTTCTGCGCTGGAAATCTTTTCTCATTTGTCAAATTTTCAATTTAACTACATTGGCAGAGTCATTTCTAGTGCTGCTTCTGCTCATGTTACTTTCCTCTGCTTTTTATAAAAGAACGGTCTGGGTATACCATTTCTGAAGTTGCACTGGTACAGATACCCATTAGGCATGTGGCAGAGTCTGAGAAAACCATTTAGTCTACTTAGAGAAAGCAATGTTTTGGCCATCTTTTAAGAATTAAAGCATCTGCCAAATTAAACATATAAAAGAAAGCATTCTAACCAGATTTGTGTTGACTTCTGAGTTCACGGTGTAAACACACACACATGCACACACACATGCACGTGCACAGGCACTCATGCAAAGAATTTTAAAGAATCAGAAAGCAATGGCTTTACAAAGTGTTTCCAGCCAACACCCTCTCTCATTTGCCAAAACACAGTCCAGAGCAAGCTTTTTTATAGCTGAATTATAAACACTTGAAACCCAGAGTAATCTCTACAATGGAAATACTGACACTGCTCAACTTGAACAACACAGATGGCTCTGGCTTTTTTAGCTAGAACATGATGAGTTTTCTAATAGGAAGCCAAGATGCTCCTTTGGGGGTAGAACTGTTAAGAAGTGTGGAGATTGGGGAAAATCTCTCAGTGGAGTCAAGTCATAAACACTGTGGCCTGGCTACATTCTCCTATGACACCTCCTCCTCCTATTAACTAGGAAAGCTGCCCATCTAAATGACTTATACCTACTGCCTTGTGTAAATATAGAATGTGACCTTGACTTATGACCTTAATTTTTCATAGTCCCATCCCTAGGATTGCCATAAGAAGTTTTTGTAACATGTTATTGCTGTCTGAGATAGTCTCAGCTATAAGACTCTGTACTGTTAGTGGAAGGATGGATAAGAATGGCCCAAAGCTTCTAAAAAGGAGTCCACCAAAAAATATCCCCCAATATGTAAAGATAGTGATATTGATGCACATTTTAAGTTTTAAAATGTTTTCAGTGAGCTCACTCTTACAACTCTACTCTTTTAGATGGAAAGACTATGTGTTTTTCTCCCATTTTTATTGGCATGGAAATAGAATAACTTGTTAGTGGACAGGCTGGCATTAGGAAGCGATCCAAACCTATTGTTCCTTCCCCAGTACACAGTTGCCCAACACCTGGGCTCCCACGTACAGATCCCTGGCAACATCACCATCCTGCCCTGCTCCCCAGCAGTCAGACATTTGTGTGGCTAATTGCATTTGCAATTTCATTTCTTATGGTTGATTATTGTCTTGGCAGTTGGGTTTGCCTGGGTACCTTTGCTGAAGGATGGTAGAATCATCACGTTTGAGCAGCAGCTGCCAGTTTCAGCCAATCTTCCCCCAGGCTACTTGAATCTGAATGATGGAGAATCAAGAAGGGTAGGAAAAATATCTGCAGGTGTTGAAGTAATCATTACTAAATGTTTTAAAATAGAATTCTGTTGGTCTGATTGATTGGGACATTGCTACTCAAAGTATGGTCTGAGGGGTGGTGCTCATCCATAAGAAAGTTAAATATGGAAAATGTTTAAAGTTTATAGCAGTTTGATAAAGTAATTTTTAGTCTGTTGATTCTAATAACTTAAAACTGGGGCTTGGGTTTTGTGTATCATTTTCAAAAATTCATTTGTTTAGTTCATTTATTATAATTTATAAAAGTATTGATCTGAAAAATATTATAAGTTTAAAATGATCTAGGACACATTTATTCTAATGGTAGTTTATTTTCTTTAATAAATCCTTGTGAGAATTTAATACATTCATTTTTGAAAAATGTTAAAATACATACAGATGTCACATGTCCACCTATCCATTGCTGTGATACAGAAAGTCATGTCTATATTATTTTCTGTTTATAGCAGTCAAATGTGGATATTAAGTGGGTAGATGGGGCAAAGCCTTTGTTGAAGATTAAAAGCCACTTGGAGTCTACCATTTATACTCAGGTAAATTGTGTCATCTGAATCTTGTCAGTTTGAATATTTGAGTATATTTCTTGATTAAAATAGACTATATATTTTATTCCTACAGCCTTAGAGAGGTTGTGGTATGCAAGATTTTCTCATTCATAATATCATTCTAGCACAGATTTTATAATTCTTCTCATGTTATAAAATCCCTTTATTTCCATTAACTGATTTGAGTCTCACAAAATTTTGAAAGGTGTGTGGAGGCTTTCATCTCCATTTTATAGATAAAGAATTTGAGGCCCAGTCAGGTTAGGTGAATTCCCCAATGTCACACAGTAATATTTAAGGGAGCCAGGTCAAAATGCACATTTCATTATTCTATTTCCTGAGGTAGCCCAAGCTGTCCAGAAAATCAATGTGCATGGATTCCATATCGGACAGCTGGACTCACTCACCAGCACAGTTTCATGGTTAAGTTGGGTATTGAATGCTTGAGACTACTGTCCTAGTAAATTTCTGCTGCTGCTTTTTCTTCACTTGTCACTTCAGACTTCTTTTTCTGCTCATTTCATTAAAATGGAGAAGCAGCCCAACTTCATGGAACACACTGGTAAAAAAGGGATTAAATGTATGTGTAATGGGTTGGGCATACATTGCAGCCCTCCTGTATGTTTAGGTGCATGCCAGATTAACCTGGTTTTGCTATTTTGTGTGATAGTCAAGAGGTCTTTGGGATATGGACACATAGGTTGGCAGCTAGAGCCTGCTAGGTCTGGGCATTAGAGTACCCAGATAGATAGGTTTGCAACATGCAGGGGGGATAGAGAGCTTATGTTTGAGGACAATGAATCAAATTTCACACGGCTGTTCCCATCCGTGTTCCAGGATCTGCATGTGCACAAATTCTTCCATCATTGCCAGCTGATTCAGTCGGGCTCGAAAGAAGTTCCAGGGGAGCTCATCAAATATTTAAAGGTAAATGAACAGCAGCTTTCTGCAAAAGGTTTGTTTTTTATGTCTTTCTGCTGCCATATTTTGATATGGAGAAAAGAACCAGACAAATACTTGAAAATACTTTGAGCTGTGTATCCTCAGGAGAGCACTTTCTATTATGTACTTTTCCATCAAGTGGCTATTTAGAAGCAGACAGCAGAGTTGCTACATTAGGAAGAAAATATTATAGCCAAGAGTTCAATATCATGGTTTTGAAAATCTCAGGAAATGTTGATTTCAGTTGTATAAAATTTTTCAGGTCCTTGTTCTTCCTGCCGACTGCCCAATAAAGGTAGAGAATGCTCCCTTTGGGGAGCAGAGCCAGGGAGAATGCAAATAATTTTACTTGGAATAAAATGTGGAATGATTCCTGTGTCCATTACTGAAGGACCATCAAAAGGACCTACTAAAAAGTGGCCCAGGAGAGAGTCTTAAGGAATACCATAATTTATCAGATGTATAGAGAACCTAAGACTGGTGTATAGCTTTCTTCTTTTGATTGCTCCTTTAGTAGGTTAGCCATGGAAAGTCTGAAGAATTCTGATTTTAAATGAAGCCTCTACAGGATTTGCCTTTGGACATATGCTATGGCTTAATGTTGTTTTCAGGAAACAAATATGTTCATTTCTTTCAGACAGTAGTATGACATGAGATAAGATGTATGGGTTCTGGAATCATAAACTGACTCTGTGATTAACATTGGCCAAGTTACTTCTCCAAGACTTTGTTTCTTACTCTGTTACATTGGGACAACAGTAATGCCTGTCTTGTAGGGTGACTACGAGGCTTAAATGAGATAGAATGTCTGGCACACTTAGGAACCACGCATTGTTCCAGGCATTGAAAATACAAATCCCTATTTTTTAAGGAGCTTGATTTCTCATGGAGACAGACAATAAACATAAGAATAAGTAAGTATGTGTGTCCTATCAGGTGGTTTTATGTGCTATAAAGGAAACCAAAACAGTGAAGTCGAAATAGGAATGAGAAAAAGTTCCTGTTTTAAAGAGGTCACAGAAGATATCACTGGTTAAGTGACATTTCTGCAGAGACCTTTTGGAAACGAGGGGAGAGCTAGGAGTAGCAAGCACAGATGTCTTGGGGAGCTTAGCTTGGTGTATTCAAGGAGCTATGAGAATTCCAGTGTGGTTGATGATAGACATGACCTTGGAAGGGCAATAAGTAAGGCCTCAAAGGAGTCTGAATTTACTCCAAGTGAGATAGGAAATCTTACAGTCCTTTGAATACTGGAGTGACATGATGTGACTTTATCTTTTAAAGTTACATTCTACTTACTGTATAAAAATATATTGTTGAAGAGTAGAAGAAGGGAGACTATCAGTTAGTGGCGGCTATTATGCTTATCATTCAGTATAATAATCATCTAACTTTCAAATTCTGTCCTCAGGTAATACCTAGGAGGACTCCAGCTATACATGTGAATGCTTTGTCTGTTAGGGTCATTGGTATTTCTTCTGGTGGCGAAGCTTTGTGAAATTTTGTGAACAGGATGGCATTTTCAAAAACTGGTATTATTCAAAAGGAAAAAAAGAGCTCATATTTGTTATTAAAGGGTGTGGAATTTCTGATGCTTTGATAACCTATGCCTGCCCTCTAGTGGCAGTGAGTGAAATGTCATGTGATTTCAAACATAGCTAAGTTCTTTTATCAATTGTTAGTGCTCAAAAGGATTTTAAAGATTTCTTTCTAAAGATGAGGAAACTGAAGACCAAATAGAGGTGATTACTTTTACTCATTTAACTGATTGGTGGCAAAGCTGAACCGAGCCTGTGACATATTTCTCTTGACTCCTAGTCCTGTGATCTTTCTAGCAAACTTTGCTATCTTTTGTCCCAATAAATGACACTGTTTCATCAATTCATTTAACATCTACTTATTGGGTTCTTGTTATATATTTAGTATTTTCCTCCATGCCGTAGGGCTTTCAGAGAAGAATAATTTAGGGTCATTGTCCATAGAGACATTACAACCTAAATGAGGAGACAGAGCATATATGAGTTAACTGATAGTATGTCAACAATACAAATAGTTCAAAACCATATGTGATTAACTTTCATATACATAACCCAGAGTGCAAGTGTTGAGGGCTCAGTAAACTGAGGAACCATTGTAGACTAGAGTTCTCCCATCTTTTACCCTTTGGATCCTTATTTATGTGTTCAGTCATTCACCAAGTATTTATGGAGCACCTATGGTCAGACATTGTTCTGGGTGCTGGGAGAATAAGGGGAAGCAACTCAGACAACATATCTGCTCTTATTGGGGTAGGGAGTTGTAAATAAATGACTTTAGATAGAAATGAATGCTGTGAAGAAAATAGAATAGGTTCATGGGGTCTTTCTATATAAAATCAGGAAAAGCCTCTCTCAGGAGATGCCATCTCAAGCTGAAAAGTAACTAAGGACAGGAATACAGGATTCAGTTGATAACTGAAGCCTAGGGTAAGAGTTTTTAGAACAAGAGAAATGACAAGATAGCATAGCTGGAGCACAGTAAGCAGTGAGGAGGGGGTGTGCTGCCATGAGATATGTTTGCAGTAAGAAGCAGGATACAAGCCTAGGTACTGGTGGCCCATGACAGCTCTTTGTGGTGTTTTTTTGAACAAGGGAAAAGTAGCATTATCTAATTTGCATTTCAAAAAGAACACTCTGCCTGCTGTGTTGAGAATAAATTAGAGGAACAATGCTGGTAGCAGGGAGATGCATTCTGCATGGAATGCCCATCCCTCTTTTCTACCTGGCATCACACTATTTATTCTTTAATCTTCCTCCTCTCTGAAGCCTTACCTAACATTCCCAACCCATTTGCAGTTCACTTAGTTCTTCCTTTGTGTGTCTTGTAGATGCTACTACTGTGCCTTTTGCTGTTTGTACTGCAGTGATTTATTTCCATGTCTTATTTTTGATAAGATATTTATCTTTGTTGAATGAGAACATGAATGATTTCACTGTAGTGAAGATTTGAATGTGTCTTGGAAGGGCAACTAGGATTTGGCTAAGAACTGTGAACAAAGGTACATAGGTAGGAAAGCATATGTCAAAGAACAGTGAACACACCAGGTTGGCCTTATAAAGAACAATGATGACTTTTAAGACTGAAAATGTAGGCTGGGTCTTAAGTAACTTGAAATTAATTCCCTTGGTCAGATTTCTCATCCTTGGTACTTTTGACATTTAGGGCAGAATGGTCTTGGTTGTAGGGCCTGTCCTGTGCATTGCAGGATGTTTAGCAGAATCCCAGTCCTCTACCCACTAGAGGTCAGTAGCACACCCCAATTGTGACAACTAAAAAGAAGTCTCCAGACATTTCCAAATCTCCTGTGGGGGCAGTGTGGCCCCTGGTTGGTAACCACTGCCTTAGGTAATGGGGAAGCATCAAAAAATAATCTTGAGGGCTGGAGGGGGGCGGGGCTCAGCAGTAGAGCAATTGCCTAGCATATGCCCTTAATCCCATCCCCAGCACTGAAAAAGAAAAAGAAAATCTTGGTGGGAGATAGTCTAATGTAACCGGCCTTTAATGAAGATGGAAAATAATTTGGAAGTAAGACTTGAATGTGTTAGAGGAAAGAGACATCATGCAGACACCTACTAGAAAACTATTGAGTGTTTTGGTTATAGGGTAGAGCATCCCCAAAAAGGGCAATGGCAAGGAGGATGGTCCCCCAGGAAGGAAACCGTTGAAGGATGGTTGTAGCTCACCTTCCTGCCATATCAGATGTGTAGATATCTGATAGGAGAGAAGCTGCACAGAGGTCCAAAAGGTCATTGATGAGATGGTTCAAATACAAATGACAGGGCCCTATAAGGAGATTGTGGAAGAGAAATGATGAGTTCCTTAAATACAAAGACTTCTTTTGTCCAACTCTGTGTTCCCCACAGCAGTACACATTGAATTGACAATAAAAGGTGCTCAGCAGAGTTTGATTTCTTTCTTTTTCTTTCCTTCTTTTTGTTTTTTTTCTTCTTCTCTTCTTTTCTTCTTCTACTTCTGCTGATTGAGTGATCAAGTGAGTAATATAGAGAAAAAATGAAGAAAGTTAACTAATTTCACTGTTTGTAACATTTCTGTATATATGTACACATTTCTTCATTTTGATGTTTATAACACTCCTATTATTAGAGATAAGAGTGTTAGCATTTTGAAGAAATATATTACAAGAATGTTAGAATGTAAAACGATCTCAGTTTTATAGATGATGCCAATTAAATATAGAAGTGTTCTTTATGAATTTCACCTAACTTTTTACCAGATTAACTGGAGGCTCACCTTCCCCTGGAAAACATACAGATTGCTAAGGCTAGTGGGCATATCTGCAGCGACTCCAAACACGTCTGCTACCCCCAGTCTCCTGCCATTGAGTGTTGGTTTACCAAGAGTCAGTTGTCTTTTTTTTTTTTTTTCAAAATCCATCTATCCCAGTTATACTTGTTAAGCTTTCAGTATTAAACAAACTCACAAAATCTGAGTGCCAAAATAGAGAGTACATTAAGTAATTAACCAAAGTCCCCTGTTCCAGGAAGCTCACATTTATATGATCTTATATTCTAGTCAATGTATCTCTCATTACTTAATTTTCTGTTGTTTCACGTTTGCAAATTATATCATATTTCTGTTTGTTTTCATAACTAATAATGACTTATTTTAGTGTTTGCATGCCATGGAGATCCAAGTCATGATACAGTTTCTACCCGTAATTCTTATGCAACTCTTCCGAGTTCTCACAAATATGACCCAAGAAGATGACGTTCCTATCAACTGCACCATGTGAGTTTTGGTGTTATAATAAAAAGAAGCTACTTACTTGAGATCTTTCTTCTTTTGTAATGGAAGCATTCCTTGCTATACACTTCTCTCTTGGAGCCGCTTTTGTTGCATACCATCCATTTTGGTATTCTGTAAATTCCATTGTCATTTGTCTAAAGATGTTTTTAATTTCCCTTTTGATTTCTCTTTTGGCTGGTTGGTCAGGAGCGTGCTGTTTAATTTCCATGTGTTTTTTGAATTTTCCACAATTCCTCCTGTTAACGATTTTTAATTTCGTGCCATTGCACTTGAAAGCAACACTTGATATGATTTCAATCTTATTTTTTAAGACTTATTTTGTGGCCTAATGTGCGATCTACCCTGGAGAATATTCTTTGTGCATATAAGAATGTATATTTTGTGCTGTTGGATTGAATGTTGTATATATGTCTGTTAGGTCCATTTGGTCTAAATATAGTTCAAGTCAAATATTCCCTTATTAATTTTCTATCTTATTGACCTACCCAGTGTTGAATGTGGGGTACTGAAGTCACACACTATTAGTGAATGGCTAGATTTCTCCATTCATGTCCATTAATAGTGGCCTTATATATTTAGGACCATAAATATATTAGCTTCAAATGAACTTTCTCTAATGATGTAAATGGTTGGGGGCATGGCTCAAGTGGTAAAGCAACTGCCTAGCAAATGCAAGACCCAAGTTCAAACCCCAGTACTGCCAAAAAAAGAGGAATAAATTATTTTTAGAAAATGATGTAAATGTTCAATACCTGTGCTGTACAGTATAGCAGCCACTAGCCACATGTGGCTATTATTGAGCGCTTGAAGGATGGCTAGTTAAGCTGAGGACCTAAACTTTTAATTGTGTTTAATTTTAGTTTTAATCAATTTAAATAGCCACATGTGGCTAGTGTGTCTCATATTGGACAGAAAGTGGTGCTAAGCCATCAAGTTTTACTTGAAAGAATAAAGGTATATTATTTTTATATGAAAACAATTGAGGATATGTTATACAGTAGAATGCAAAATACACCTGAATTTTGAAATTAAAATAGGAAGCTTTTAAAGTCGTGAGCTCAATGCTAGGTGTCTCTGGCTTTGTTGCCACTGCCCTTCCCCCAGGCCATATACACCTGCATACTGTTCATCTCTGCTGTTGGGATTATGTGGTCAAAAACTTAAGACATATTATTCTAATCCAATGAGTCTCAAAATGTGGTTTCCAGACCAGCGGCATCAGTATCACCTGGGAGCTTATTTAAAATGCTAATCATTGAACTTCACCTCAGACCTACAAATTGAGAAATTCTGGGAGAGGAACCAAGCAATCTTTTAACAAGCCTTCCACATGATTCTGTTGATAGTGGAAGTTTGAGAATCAGTGCTAGTCTCTTAACTTTAAATCTTTGTATGAATTTTAAATATGCCTCCAGTTTTAGTTCATGTCATTATATCTGCTCTGTCTCTCCTTTTCTTCTTTCCCCATCTGTTTACATGCTTTTCATTTTATCTTTCAACTTTTTCCTTTTATTCTACTAAAGGGGATTTCAATATTTACCTTACTTGGGGTCTTCACTATACAGTAGCGATGGCTATACATACATATTAAGAAAGGAGAAGAAACACGTAAGCTGCCAAATTAAAGTATCCTTCTTTTGAACCAGGAAATAAATTTTGCAAGACCCCAAGTATGTTAGATGCCAAAGTCTTTGTTAGACCTAAACTACCATTGTATCTTAGGTAATTGTCTCACTTTTAATTGCTTGGGGACTGTTAGGTATTTTTAGGGTGATATGATGATCCTATTTAACAATCACGCTGCAGTAGTTAACTATAGCACGACAATGCTGACTTTTGTAAATGTCATTTCAGGGTTCTCCTACATATTGTATCGAAGTGCCATGAAGAGGGCTTGGATAGTTATTTAAGATCCTTTATAAAGGTTTGTGAAGGAAGCTTTGTTGTGGGGTGGTTTGTTTTATGGGACAATTCTGCCTTATGGTTTATTTTCTTTGTTTATAGTATAGCTTCCGACCTGAAAAACCGAGTGCTCTTCAAGCCCAGCTGATACATGAAACCCTGGCTACTACCATGATAGCAATATTGAAACAGTCTGCAGATTTCTTAGCAATAAATAAACTGCTAAAGGTAAGGACACAGGACAAAACTAGGGACAAAAGCAGCCATCCACACACTTGTTTGATACCCCTCCCTTTTGTTTTTCACCATTTCCTCACATAATCCACCTCTCCCTTCTCTTAAAGTTCTCACAGAACCTTCACCCTCCCATGCACCGCTCAATCAAATATGTAATTGACAAACTTTGGATCAGATAGAGCTGGGACCTGGGGCCAGTTACTTAGCATCTAAATTATAAGTATTTATTTTGGTCCAAAGAGCCATGAAAAACTTACTGTGAAACTAGGAAACACAAGCTGAAAGAATTGTGTTGCAGCCTTTAACTTATATCTTTATGTTTCTGAAATTATATTACAAACCTAGTTACACAAATTTGCTTCAAAGCAAGTATAACCAATGTTTTGTTTAAATTTCTCATTGGCTCGTTGAAGTTTCTCAGTACCGATCCACTAACAAATAAGATGTACCAAGTCTAAACAAAAGCATTGGAGCTTACAGAGCATAAAAATAAATAAATTATAAGTATTTAACACATAAGCTTCTGACATGTAGTAGGCACTCAATAAACAGTAGCTCTTATTATTATCATTAGTTTTATTATTCCTTCAATTAGTGGTAAAATTTGAGATATCTTGGGATACATCTGCTTCGGGATTCTCTCTACCCTCCAAGTTACATGATTTGGGCAAATGTAGGCCGCTTCGGCTGTGCAGGTATTGTACCGAGGTCAGGCTTGGGTCCCCCAGCCGAATGCAGTTGTTTGTAGAGAATTTAAAAGTAATAACAAAATTAACTAAAGCTTGATTTGCTCTTATCACCAAGCCTGGACAATTCAAAACAATGTCAGTGATGAAGTTCCACTCCCCACTGGGACAAACATTGCCATCCTCCCCTCATACATCACTAGTTGGCCTTTTTGCTAGAACAGGTTAAAGATATTCTATGAGACTTTGATGGTGACTTGTGATCACTTGAAAATGTTAGTAAAATTTGGATAGAATATCTGTATTGATTTGTCAGGCTTTGCTGGGCTTCAAAGATTTACTCAACTTAGTTTTTTTTTTTTTTTTTAGTACTCATGGTTTTTCTTTGAAATAATTGCAAAGTCCATGGCCACATATTTGTTAGAAGAGAATAAAATTAAGGTAAGTAAGCTCAATAATAATTTTATTTTGTAGTTACAAGTTGAGAATTCATTATGTGAAATGTCTGGAAGCCAAAATATTTCAGATTTCAGATTTTTTCAGTTTTTCGGATGGATATTTGCATACACATAATGAAGTATCTTGGGGCTGAGACCCAAATCTAAACCTGAAATTTATTTATGTGTCATATACACTTTGTGCACATAAATTAAAGATAATTTATCCACTATTTTATATTTGCATCTGTGTTTTGGCTTCAGTCCAATCACATGATGTCAGGTATGGAATTTTCCAGTTGTGGTATTAGGTCAATGCCTCCAAAAGTTTCTAATTCTGGAGCACTTCAGAGTACAGATTTTTGATTAGGAATGCTCAAATTGTATAAAGAAATTTTCTTAGTTATAGGAATCATAAAACTAATGCTTGTAAAGTAAAAAATATTTACCTCATAGTTACTGTGGTTTGCACAATTTTCATAGGTGAGTTTACTGAAACTGACATGCATGCCTACTTCGTGTGGCAGAAAAAAATAGAATGAGAAGCTTGTATGTGTCAGTATTGCAGGAACATTATATTCCACAGTTGGGTTGGGATAACCTGTTATTATGGATAATTTTGGTCATTGGTATTATTAGAGGACCAGATAGTTTTATAAGGGTCTGGAGTGAAATGTACAGTGAAGTAGTGATGTCATTTTGAGTTGGGAGAAACATTAAACTTCAGTTTAGAAACATTTATAACGGACCAAAGTAAAGCACACCCACAGCGGGCACACATTGACACACCCCTTTGAACGTCAACTTAAATATTAATAACGAAAACCAGGACTGTCAAATAGGCACAGTTGGGGGGTACTAGTGGAGGAGGAGGGTGAATGAAGGAGATTGAGATGAGGGTATATGATGGTTGGAGTTCATACACCTGCAGGAAACAGAACTAAGAAACCTCTCGCAACTGCTTTAAGTGGGATGGGGAGGGGTTGAGGGGGAGAGATGATGGGGACAATGTAACTAATGTAAATATAAGTCTAATGGGAATTGTCACTATGAATCCTCCCCCATATAACAAATATATTCTATTAAAAATTTTATTAGAACATAAAAAAATTTATCACTGAGAAAACCCATTTATATAGAGAATGCGTTTGAAAGTGAAAATGGCAATTGATTTAGACCTTTCAGAACGCTGACTTTTTTCTATCCCCATTTGCTTGAAGCTACCCAGGGGCCAGAGATTTCCTGAGGCATATCATCATGTCTTACATTCCTTGCTCCTCGCAATAATTCCCCATGTGACTATTCGCTATGCAGAGATTCCTGATGAGTCCAGAAATGTGAATTATAGTTTGGCTAACTTCCTGAAGGTGAGTTAAAGACAGCCAGAGCATGGTAAGGAACTCTTCTTCACTGCTAGGGTCCTGAAAACCAAAGGGAAAAAGTACCCTCTTTTTAGAGACTGAACTTGGTCTTTCTAAGGGCGTTGGAGTAACTCTTTTGACTCAGTTGATGCCCAAATGGAATGGCTGACTAATTAAATCAGACATCCCACACAGGTGGCTTAGCCAGAAGACAAGTTTTGCTTATTTTAAAGAATGCTTTAGAAATATTTCAGTTTGACTGCTGTTAAATAGGGCACATACTTTCTAGGTCACCACAGTTCCTAACACTCTTTATCATACTCCTAATCCTCTTTATGCATTTAAGTCACTTCTCTGACCTCCTGTTTGTTTTGGAGTTTGCTACTATTGAACTAAAGCAACCTGTTTGGTAAAGTAACCACAGTCTGCCTATTGCTAATGTACAGGAAAATTGTTAGTTTGGGCCAGTGAGGTTATTTTATTTGGGAGATAGCAGAAATCCCTATACTTATAAAAGAGAGCATGTTTGTCATTAAGTTTTTTTTATTTGTTTATTCATATGTGCATACATTGTTTGGGCCATTTCTCCCCCCTATCCCCTGCCCCCTCCCTCTACCACCACCTCCCCTCGCTTCCAGGCAGAACCTGTTCTGCCCTTATCTCTAATTTTGTTGAAGAGAAGACATAAGCAATAATAAGAAAGAGAAAGCATTTTTGCTAGTTGAGATAAAGATAGCTATACAGAGAGATTCCTAGTATTGCTTCCATGTACAAATGTGTCACATCACCAAGTTGATTCATCTCTAACTCTCATTATGTTTTGATATTGTTACTATGTAAGAGACAGTGCTAGAATGCAATTGTTTTATAGGGTGCGTAAGAACAATACTTAATTTGTCACAAAGGGTAGGTGTGACTTTGTAATACGTTTAGTTTTTTCTTGTTTCTTTCCACTCCCCCTTTCCTGATCATGCATCAGCCTTATGTTGAGAACTTCATGGTCACCAGGCATGGTGGTACCTGCCTGTAATCCCAGCACTAGAAAGACTGAGACAAGAGGATCATGAGTTCAAGACCAGCCTGGGTTACATAGTAATAACCTGTCTCAAAAAAAAAAAAAAAGAATTCCATGGTCAGTAATCCATCCAAGCAATTTAGTGTGCAACATACCCTTGTATTTTTTAAAATTAAAAATTTGTAAATAGGTTTCAGATATCCAAAATACGATTTTCTTTTTTTGGGGAATGAGGGAGCAGGGTCTCGCTGTGTTGTTCAGGCTGGTCTCCCGAGTAGCTGGAGCTGTAGTCATGCAGCGCTGTTCCTGGCTCAGAGTATGGCTTTGTAATTGACTTCTTTTTATCAGAATTAAAGTTTTAACATTATTACATAAACCCTTTAGTGTATTAAAAAGTAAATATCCACAAGTTTTTTTTTAAGTAAAATAAAGAGGAGATTGTCTGAAATGTAAAATCTTACTTTCTCTGATGGACTTTAAACTTGAAGTTTACTATGGAGAGGGACCAGAACATTGTTGGTTTAATAGAAGTATTTACTTAAGTCAGAAAACACTTGCTGGTCTTCTATGTGGGGAGTCCAAGATGTGACTAGCTGTCTCTGTAATCAAATTCAAATACACAGAAGAAGATAAAAATTCTAACTGTAATACTGAACATACAAACAAAATACTAGAAGGACCAATAACTGTGATCAGGCAGTGTGAACAGAGGTAAGAAACATACTGAAGAATTCTCCCAGACAAGAGTTAAGGGTGTTGCATGTTGAGGGTCCCTGAGCAAAGACAAGATATGTGTGTTGAGGAATTGTTTAGAAACCAGACAAAAAGTCATCATTTGGTGAGTTTAAGATGTGAAAAATGGCAGGATGCCAGTTACTCATGCCTGTAGTCCTAGCTACTTGGGAGGTAGAGATTGGGAAGATCACAATTTGAGGCCAGCCCAGGCAAAAAGTTTACGAGACCCCATCACAACCAATGGCTGGGGGTGGTAGTGACGCCTGTCATCCCAGCAAGATGGGAAGACTAAATAGGAAGATTGTGGTCCAGGCTGGCCAGGGTTAAAAAAAACAAAACAAGACCCTGTCTCCAAAATAACCCAAGTAAAAGGGGTGGGAGGCATGGATCAATTGGTAGAGTGTCTGCCTACCAAGCACGAAACCCTGAGTTCAAATCCCGGTACTACCAAAAAAAGTGTGAAGAAAGAGCTCAAAATGCCATCTAGTACCAGATGGTGGAAGGCCTTAAATGTCAACTTTATGAGTTTGTATTTTGATACATGTGCAATAGAAAAATACCAAAGTTTTTTGAGAATAATTTTATTGTTGGTATGATGGATAAAGTGAGGAAAAGACCAGATTCAGGGTGGCCAACTAGAGGACCAGTGTTCCACCTGGCAGGCAGGGTTCATTTCTCCCCTAACCTTGCTGTGTAGGTCACACCTTCTATTGTTCACCCATCCTTTACAGACTTCTCTGGCACTTCTTATTCAGCTGTGTTTTTATTACTTATTTGCTTTTATTGGACAACAGTAAGGACTGTTTTACTCAGTTGTGTATTTCTCTAGAATGTCATTGTCTCCAATATAGTTGTTCCTCCATGTGTTTGTTGGGTGAATTAGTAAATGAACATTATCCTAGCTTGGTAGTCCAAGTAAGAGGTGACAAAGGTCTAACTGACCCCAGACAGTGGCCAAGGAAGTAGAAAGGAAGGTAGAATATTATATATATGCAACTAATTTTAATCAGATATTTGTCTTTCTATGCACTCTGGAGAATATAAAGGAAAAGAGATGGTTCTTATTGTCCTATGTAGGTGATAACATAGGAAAATAATAAGTTAAATACACCCTTGAGTAGACTAAAATGTTTAAAGGACGTGTGGACCAAGGTAGTTGAGGAAGATAGGAATTTATGAGAAACTTAAAGAATGGGCAGAATTAGACAGAAGTGATGATAGACTTGCTAGGCCTGGCCTGAACAAAGACCCATAAGTAAGAATACCCAGTGCATCTTGAGGGGGATAATAAGTCGACAAGCTCTATTGGAAATACAGCTGGAAAAGTCAGTTAAACAAGATTATGAATGTCCTTGAATGTCAAGTTAAGGAATTTGAAATTATATCAGATGCAACAGGGAACTATTATAAGGTTTGGGGCAGGAAGGTGACATGGTTAGGACTTAGAGATTAATCTGGAAGAAGTTAGATGAGTGGAGAGGTAAGAGGCCTGCATACTGGTTAGGAGACTAACAGCAATTGTTCAGCAGCTGGGTAATGAGAGTCTTAACCAGAAGAATAAGAGCAGGCAAATATGTATAACTATTAAACCTGTCAGAGAATATGAATGTTTTAATAGGCCAGGACTTCTTGGGACACAAACAAAACCTTCCCTTTTGATATGAATTGTTTATATAGGTAAACCTGCTTTCAAACCAACTGACCATCCTATACTTCCCTTTGAACTTGAAAGTTGACCAAAATGAGGCTGCGTAACTGAATAAGTTATATGTGTGTATATGCATATGTATTTGTGTGTGTGTGTGTGTGTGTGTATACAATTTTTAAAACTGTATAGTTGAGGCTCCTGAGTCTCAATTCTAATAATAAGTCACTTGCTCTTTTTTTTCTTTATGGTCACCCAGAGCTCTGAAAACTATTATTATATTATCTATAAAAATGAAAATGTCATACCCTTAGTGTAAAGCAAATTTAACATCTTTTTGAATTTATGCCTGAGAGACTTTTAGGATTATGTAACTAACCATTTTGTTTTTGTTTCTATAGCGCTGTTTGACACTAATGGATAGAGGATTTGTATTCAATTTGATAAATGACTATGTCTCTGGATTCAGCCCCAAAGATCCTAAGGTAAGTTATAAGGACATAATTGTAGTACATGACAGACTTTATTGCATGAGACCACAGGTGACACTTACTCTCTTCTAGAGGATTTGAAACTTCTTTTTTCATTTAGCTACTTTGAGTATCAAATGTACCTCAAGAAGCAGGGGATACTGACTCATGTTTTGAGGATCCCTAAGACCACCCACATGTTCAGTAATGTTAAGCAGGACTCAACATTGTAGTGGAACACTTGGTTAAGATTCATTAGAGGGACATGATAAGGATACTCTGTTGGATCAAGAAAGGAAAAGTCATCAAGTGGAGTCTCTGGCAGTCCACCTGCAGACTTCCTGAGTGTTCTCTCTCTCCAATAGTGAAAATGCAGCCACACATGTATAGTATTTCTGTTCAAGAAATCTCATTTGAGCTGCAGAGTTCAGGGTTTTTATTGGGGACTGCTCATGTATTTGGAGCTGGTCAAAATCCCAGACTCTTCAAAAGGAAAGCAAAACAAGTGTCCACCATAAATCACATTGTTTGTACAAAGGGCCTAAGGGGCTGCTAGTAAAGTCTCAGCCTTATCGGTAGGGAATGCATCCAAATCCTGCTTCCCAGATGCTAGCCAGCATCAACATTGTAACAGGTCTTTTAAAGGTTAACAGTCTTGGGGGGCCTACTATGTTAAGTCTTTCCTGCACAGGTTGCATCTCCAGGTATTCTTAGAATAATAGACATTTATGTTGTGAAAATTAATGCCCTGTATTAAATTATCAACATGAGAAATACCTACTAAATAGGAGTTAATGCATATTTTTTTCACATTTAGGTTCTGGCTGAATACAAGTTTGAATTTCTACAAGCAATTTGCAATCATGAGCATTACATTCCTCTGAACTTGCCAATGGCATTTGCAAAACCTAAATTGCAGCGAGTTCAAGGTATGTATTTGGTTTTCCATCATTTGGAATTGTTTTTCCTTTTTTTTTTTTTGCTAGCACTAATGTAGTATAGTATTTTCTATCTAAACCAATTAACTTAAAGGTAGCTTTAGAATTGTTACCATCTGAAGATAGCTCCATTAATGGGACTCTGCATTTCTTTCATAGTATCAGTGGAAGTATTTATAGTAAGAAGAACTCAAATGTGTTACATAGATTGCTGTGTAAATATAGATGTCAGATACTAGTAAAGTTTCTCTTTGCAATACTGTATAGAATCTTATTTCTAAATGAAGAAAAACATGAATGCATTTCTGCTGAAAGTATCAAAAAAGGAAATGTAAAGGCAGAGTAAAATGCTAACATATACGTACTAAATTTATGAAATGCCTTCAGTTTTTAATCTCCATTGCTAGTTTTATTGAATGCTTTGTTGTGTAGCACTATTCTTATGTTACTATGTTTTTTATTTGTCCCTTTTCTTTTCATATATTAATTAGATTTTTTTTCATTTGCGGTGGACCGTTTGACTTCAGTAGGTAGGTTTAACTCGGTTCACTCTAAAGTAGTATGCTGTTTTTAAACACAGTTGATTGGATGAATGGCTAAGATGGATGGGGGCTTTGTTTGCTTTTCAAATCCTCCCGAGCCAAAATGAGCCTTAGTGTACCGTAGCCAGAAAATCTAAAAGGTGGTGTGCTTGCTTACTTTTTAAGTAAGCTTGAGTGTTGTGTGCCTTCAGATGTTGGCCCTCAGAAAACAAGTGCCTGCTGCAAGTCAGCTTGGGGGCAAGGAATGGGCTGGGGGTATCTGTTCTTCAGGTGTGTGTCACCTCTCCCAGGCTTGCCTCCTTCTCTCTCACTCTCTTTAAGGGCTACTTGGCCATAGTTTTGAAGATGTGGCTAAAAACATCTGATTGAATTAATTCAAATCACTGAAGTAAAAAAAATTCATTACCGTTTGCAAAATCTAGCCTGAAAAGGCCACCTTGGTTAGTCAGTATTGGCTCTTGTGCATGGAAAGTAATTGGAATTCACGAAAGAGCATGACCAATGCAGGAAGAAAATCATATTAGGGAAGTCTCTGCTCAGTGGTGGTGGTCTTAACCCCAGCGAATTAAAAATGGTAGAAATGGGGAAGTAATATTTGAAAACTACAGCACTCCTATAGAACACCCCCTGTTGGATTCTGAGCATGTATAGCTCACGTACTTCCTCAGGACTTACTGGCAGCTGTGAGGAGAAGAAGGAGTGGACAGATTATCAGGATTTCAGATTAAACTGAACTACTCACAGCAGTTACCAAGTACTAACTTAATTGTATTAAGTGCTAAAGAGCCAAAAAACAAAAGAAAGAAAGAAATTGAAGGCATGTTCTTTAGCTTTCTGGCCTGAGTAAATTAAATGGTAGGAGAGGGGAAATAAAGATAATAAGAATTTACTATAGAAACCAGTAAACTTGATCACAGTCCCCTCTGAGTTGTCATAAGGCAAGTCCCAATCACAGCACTAATGTACTAATGTCTGGAATTTAACATACTGAGGAAATAAAGAAGTGAAAAACACAGTTTGAAATGGTGTTTTTATGAAATGAAAGACTTATGTTTATGTGATGATGAAGTGAAACAAGGCTGATTTTGGTATTGTTCTTGCATCCCATGTGTATATTCAGGCCAGAACTTAATGTTTTCTAGAGCAGTCAATACTTAATACTGCTAGAATGGTTCAGTTGTCTAGTTTCTCTTCCTTTTCCCACTTTACAAGTATAAATAGATAAGTCAATCAAGCATTATTGTGTAGAGTTGAGTTACAGTTGAACAAAATCTCTCCAGGTATAAAGAAATGTGTTTAAACATTGCCAAACACAAAATTATTTCATTCTAGGTTCATTTCTAAGATTCCTAAGAGTTTAAGAGAATTTAGGGGAAAAACAAACTGAGGACTTTCTTCCTGACAAATTATTATTAAGTGACTATCTAGCCCTAATTAAAAGTGCTCCTGACTTATAAAATTTTGCATGCACGTTCTATATTATAAAATAATTGATTAGATTTATTAATACTAAAAATTGTAGTTCTTCCTAGCATGATTATGTATTATTAAATAGTAATTACAATATTTTATTTGTATGGTAAGTTTTTAAATACTTTTATAAAAGTGTTCTAAATTTTATTGTACTGCAGATTCAAATCTTGAATACAGTTTATCAGATGAGTATTGCAAGCATCACTTCTTGGTTGGTCTACTTTTGAGGGAAACCTCCATTGCTCTTCAAGACAATTACGAGATCAGATACACAGCTATTTCTGTCATAAAGAATCTTTTGATAAAACATGCATTTGACACTAGATACCAGCACAAGGTAAGGATATCCATACAGTCCCTAGTATCACTTTTGTAAGTTTCTACTAAGATTTTTCATTCAAGATAAAGTTGACAGGGGTTGCTTGGATGTAGCTTGGTGGTACAGTGCTTGCCTAGCATGCACGAGCTCCTGGGTTCAATCCCAACATCAAAAAAGAAAAAGACAAAAAAATGATAAAGTTTATAGTAAGGTACATAGTATGAGCATTAATGAAAATGTATTTTTGTAAATAAATTTTGTTTCCATTTCAAGTTATTAGGTTTTTAAAAATTCTGTTCAGGTAACTGTTGAAGAAAAACACTGGTTTTTCAAACCATTTTTAAAAAAATTGTTGATGCTGGGGATCAAGCCCAGAGCCTTTCATATACTAAGTTCTCAGTTTACCACTGAGGTATATACTCCCATCTCTTCAAGTTGCATTTAAAGGATAATATGTTTTAAGATTTATTACATAAACTAATTACAAAATTAAAAATCATATAGTTGTAGCATGTATATGCTGTCAAAAATATACCCTAATATATCCTTAAATAAATAAATATACAAATAAATACATAAAATAAAATTTCTTTATAAAATAAATAAATGATATTTTTAAGTGGTTATAAAACATGTTAGGTATATCAAACATAAAATATGTAGTATATGGTTTTTCTTCCCACTGAAAAGCATGTTGTGATGATGTATTACTGTTAATAGCTGTAGGTGTGGCTGTAAACCTTACATACATTTCACATTATCTGTGTGAAGGCCACAGCTATGATTGATCTTTGCTGCAACTATAAAATATGTTCAAATCTTACTAATATTAAAACTTAGGGGCTTAGAAAAATAGATTGCAAACTATAGAACAGGAACAATCTAACTTACTGACATCAACTGAGTCAAGAAAATATATTTCACAATTTATAATTTTTTACCTTTAGTTTTGCATTCATATATAAACAAAATTATGGTATAATTTATTATTGTAATTATTTTAGAAAGCTGACTTGGAGATGGATTTTATTCTTTTTCTACAGTATTCCCATTTATCCTTTAGAAAGTGCCTGCCAGTGACATCCACTCATGTTTATTTAATTACCAAGATTTTTTTAGGTGGTAATGGGGTTTGAACTCAGGGCCTCACACTTGCTGAGCAGACAATCTACCCCTTAAGCCCCCCAAGATTTTTTTTACTTACAAATCTTGCTAGTTTTCTTCATGTTATCCTGTCCCAAAAGAGGACCAACCCCTTAAAGATGTAATTTATTACTTATTGCAGTTTGTTATTCTTGTCACATTAAAACTACAATATCATACCCTATTTAGCATAATTTGCTCTGCTGTGTGCCACTTTCTTTTGTGTTATTATTGATACTGATTTAACATAAGTTAACTTGAAACTTACGTTAAAGTCATCTTGTGTAACCAAATGTGGTCAAGCCTTGAAAAATGCCATGTATCAGTGGCTTCTGTTTAACTGCTACATATGTCTAGTAGTGGATGAAAGGATTTTATGCAGCATGAAGGAAAATGTCTTTAGTGTGACTTTTCCCCCCCCCGGGAAATTGTGAGAATGTTTTTGTTTGATTTTGGTTGGGTTATTTTTTAAAGAGCATCATATAGATAATTTGTATATAAAAATTATTAGTGTGGGGAGGGCAAGGGGCATACATATATCCTGGAAGGAGCAAGCACACAGGGATTGGTGAGGGTAGCACACAATGCTTTGCAAAATAGCTACAGATGAAATAATCACACAAGCAGGGTGGGGGAGGGACAGCAGGCAACAAGAAAGAGAGACATGATCAAAGATAACCCTTGCCACCTCCCTACCTCTGCACACCACGATGGCCTTGACCTTCTGTCTGTCCCTTCTTCTCTCCCATCCTCTGCCCAGTTGCAGAGGCCCTGCAACTGAACAGCACCCTCTCCTTTGGCTCTGGGTGGGAGGCCAGGAGGAGGTCCTGCAAGGTCCAGATGCTGGAGCCATGAGTGCTGTCTTGATTGTATGTTCTACAGTGGCTTGCCACTTCCTTCTTCAGGTGACTCTAGTAGTCCTTTTGGGCGGGTAACAACATGCTGTGCAGTGAGTGATGGGTGTGCAGCCACTGCTGCTGTTGCAGTGCCAAGTGCTGCAGCTCAGCTGACTGTGCATGGCTTGCAGCTGATGAGCTAGCTGCTGACATCAGGCAGAGAGGGAGGCTGGCAGGTCTAGGTAAGGGCAGCAGAGAGTTAGTGACAAAGAACTTCGTTCTCTTGCAGAAGGTGAGGAAGAAGGTCAGGGAGGTCCCAGCTGGGTAAGGTGAGACCCTGAGGCCAGGGATCAATGAGAAGGTGCACCGAGTCAGAGGCTGCATGAATGGTGTCTTGCTGATGCAGGCGAAGGCGAGAGTGGATTTGGGAGTGCTGGTGGTGATGGGGGGTCACATTGAGCATCTGCAGCCCAGCCAGTGGGTCATTGCCCAGGGCATACTGCCTCTCAGCTGCCAGCCACTCAGCCAAGGACATGTCAGGTCACAGGGTGGCCCAGCTGCTACTGCAGGGGCCACAAGCTCTGATGGAAAGGGAAAGGGTGCAGACCAGGTGGATCAGGCTGCAAAGCCAGGCCGCCATGTTGGGGGAAGGGATCCAGGCCTGGTCCATGGACCCCACGTAGTGGTTTCAGCTCACTAGGCTTCACCTCGAAGCCAGGCTTGAGATGATCACGGAGGTCTCATTCTCAGGCTTCCTGCTCCCTCGCCCAGGTGACTGGGTCATTGCTGTACAGGGCTGGGACATTGTACCCCGGAGCCCCTGGTCCACTGCCCCCAGGAGTACATAGAATGGATGGTTACAATTGCCAGGAGACACGACATGAGGTCGAGCATATTCACTGAGAGTGTGCAGGGCTGGAGTGTCAGGACCCAAATAGGGGGGCATTGTAGCCACAGCACTGCCAGGCTCAAATGGAAGGCCCAGAGATGGGCGCTTCACTGGAGTACGACCTTCCTGATCCAACTTCAGGCTGAGTTCCAGCTTGTGCTTACGCTCCTTTTCTTAGCACTTGCACCCTCAGCCTCTTAGCCAGCTTGGGGCCCTCCAGCCACACCAAGTACAAGTCAAGGGTCTAAGTGTTTGTTGTTGAACCTGGCAGACTGACTGGCATGGCTGGGCACATTTAACCTTGGGAGGGGGTGCTGGACTCTCAGGGGTCGCATATCCCTTTGATCTTGCATGGCACTCAGGAGTGGCCCTGAGGCAGGACTGCAGATGCTGGAGGAAGATATGATAGGCTTGAAGGCCCTGCAGGCGGCAGGGTCCAGGCCCCACAGTGGGTGAACCTGCTTTGAAGGTCCCTAGGCCTCCTGGCAAGGAGGAACTTCGATAGACCAGTGGGGTCTCTGTTCTGAAGGAGGGTAGCAAACCCAGCTTGTATCTGGGTGGGGTAGCTGTCTTATAGGCCCTCGGAGATGGGACCCTCTTGCTGTATGGTGGGGGCCCAGGTGGGGAGGCCGTTTTGTAGCCTGCTGGTGAGGAAGCCACAGTGGCAATGACCATGGAAAGGGTGGTGGCCAGAGGCACTGTTGGGAAGGGGTAGAGCATCCCTTGGAGGCCCTGGTTAGGGGAGGGGTGTGAATATGGGGAGGCCCCTTGAGAGGAGGAAGAGGAAGAGTTGGAAGTGGAGGAGACTGGGGGGAGCCATTGGGGACTGTTTAACTGTAGGACACCTGGCTATGAGGTGGGGGCAGGTTTGCTGGCTCTGCTGGGTAAGTGCTTCAGAGACCCCAGGGAGGAGACATGGTGTAAGGTGTGCATGGTGGGAGCTACTGTTCTCCAGGGGATGGGGATATGCTCCAGGTGGAGGGGGCCCAGAGTTTCCATGCTCTGCTGCTGCTGTTGCTGGTGGTGGGTGGGCAGTGGACTGGCCCCAGTAGGAGGGAAAGGGCCTAGATGAGCATTGCTGTTGGCCAAGAGGTGGCCATAGGGAAGAGGTGAAGAGGGAGCCCTGGCTCCACGCAGCCTGGGATGGGAGAGAAGGCTGAGTATATTTGGGCAGCTGATTGGAGACGGAGAGACTTGTTGGGGGAGGGAAGGCGTGGGGATAACTGGACAGTGCCTCGGAAGCTGGGTACTGGGAGGAAGAGGAGGAGGGGGAAGAACTGGAAGAAGATGCTACAGAGCTACTACTAAAGGATGAATAAGGATACCTCATTGGGGAAGCTAGCGTAGAAGAGGAGGAAGCAGGGGGCAGAGGGTGGGGTGAGGGAGCCAGAGTTGGGCCCTTCTCTGGGCCAGAAGGAAGTCCACCCCATGCCCTTGTCCCATGGCATGGTGAGAAGGCAGATGCCCAGGGATCGGGGCTCCCATTCCGAGAGGCTGACACATAGTTAAGGGGTCTCAGGGCAAGTGGAGGAGGCAGGTTTAGTGTCACTTGAGGGAAAGTGGCTGGAGGTACGGCAGAGGGTAAGTTCCCACCACCCACTGGAGCATTAGGAGGCTTTGTTGGGGAGTACCACTGACCCCAGTACTCAATATTGAAATGGGGGTAGTGGGTGTGGGGTGCTGCTTGCCCCCACTAGGGGCCCCCACTGAAGAGGCAGCTGTTCCTCCTTTGGGACCCATTGAGAGTCCAGACAGAACTCCATCAGCATCCCCAGGATAGAGCTGTTGGGAAGAGGAGGGGCCCAAGGGGAACCTGGAACATTCAAGGATATGGGAGGTTGGGCTCCGTGGGAGCATGATATCCAGTGGGTGTCACAGAAGGATGGGGTTCAAAGTCAGGCTCTGGCTGTCGGGGAGTGTTGTCTAGTGGTGGAGGGGAAAGAGGAAAGTGTGGAGGTGAGTGGTAGGGGTGGGCTGGACCCTGGAACAAGCCAGAAGATGAATCAGAGTCATTCTTCACACTTCCAGGGCTGTAGATGCTGGGAGATGTGCTTTGGTTATCCTGGTCTGTATCCCTAGGGCCGCATCGTTGAGGCTCCACCCATCCAATCTGTCCAGATCTGAGGGAGACTGTGACTGAAGAACTCCTGCTCACTTCTGGTCTGTTTTGGAACATTGGACTTCTCACTTTCACTCTCTGAGATCTCCTCACTCTGACCCTGCTTATTGACCTTTGGGGTGGAGGCTTCCTCTAGTGCGGCTTTCTTGGCTACCTGCCTAGACTTCTCAGCTTTGCCATCACTGCTAGATGTGGTGACCCTCCGGAGGAGGCCTGGCCCCTTGATCTCAGTTTCTCAGTTCTTCCTGGGGCCTGAGGGCCTCTTCCATCCAGTCCTCATTGGCACTGAGTCTTTATTCTGTAGTATCTTCATTCTCCAGGCTGTGGAGACCCCATTCTCGTCTGCCTGGGCAGCTGAATTCAGACACTTCTTTGCTCCACCACAAGCTCTCCACACCTGTGACCTGGGAAGCAGGAAGCAGGAAGCAGGCTTAAGCACCTAGAACTTGCAGGGTCTGCTGTCAGTGAATCCTGCTCCTGGCTCTGGACTGCTGGCTGGCTGAATGCCTAGCTGGTTGCTGGCAGTAGTTCTGGCTCTGACACCTGAGGGTGGCAGGGAGCAGCAGTGGCCACAACCCCGCCCCCTCTCCTCTTCCTAGCTTGTCACCGCAGGCTCCCATGCTCCCCATGCCCCATTCCCCCATACACACTCTGCCTGATAGCCTGTTTGCCCCAGAGCAAACCCTACCACCTTGCTGCTCTCTCCCCTCCTCTCCCATTCCCCCCCCCCACCATCCCAAACCCCCACCCCCTGCACAGCCCTTGGCTCCCCTCTTTGAAACAGGAAGTTGTGTTTTTTCATCTCTTTATATGAAAGTGAATAAAAAAAATAGGATTTCATCAGTGTCTTACATAGAGGTGGAATTTAAATATCTTATATTACAAATTTGGATATTTCAAGCTTACTTTTTAAATTCTGAGAGCAGTATATACATGTGTGCACACACACACACACACACACAAAGATATTATTATCTGGAAATAACTCAGATAAGAGCTAGGAATGTAGCTCAGTGATTGAGTATTTCCCGAGCATGCATAAGGCCTGGGCTTCACCTTCCCAAAGTTAGACAATATGCCTGTTTGAGGTTTTAGATCACGTGGAAGCTTGAAATTCGAACCTTCATCACCCATTCAGTAACTTCTGAAGCCCTTTCCTCTTTGTTCAAAAGCATAGGGTTTTCTCCAGAAGAACTTTGTTTGCTTCATAGGCCTGTTCAAACAAAGGTTCAATTGCAATGTATTGAATGAGGATATAAAAAGGCCTTCTTCTGTTTTGTGCAGAGTTCACAGGCAGCCTGCATAAGGGATCATTTGTCAAATGCATTCGAGTTCCCAATTTATGATGATGCCAAGGTGAGGGTTGGGAGGAGTTTTCAGTCCCCATAATTTCCATCAAGTCCCTCAATGTGTCCGCAGATAAATAAATGGTTAAGTGTTTTTTAAAGAGAATGTTTCCTATAGAAAGCCTGCTTTGAAAATAGACTCCCTAGTCACCCCTGTCCCTTCCAATCACACTGCCACTCCTAAGACCCTCTAATGAAATCCTGGAGATGTCACTGGTCCTTGATATGTATTATTCACAAAACCCTTGGAGATGTTACTCATTATAATTACCGTGAGGCATCTTTCCTATTCAACAACAATGTCCAATGTGTAATGTCCTTTTTCCTGGGGTCTTTATAGTTCTGGTACCCAGTGCGAATGATGGTAATACCTAGGAGAATTGCAATTTCTACTTTCAGTTGAGCTGTGGGCAAATCTTTTTTCTACTCTTGCAAAAAGTAATTCACATATATGGTAGAAAGTAAAAATCAAAATGTCCCTATCCCATTAATTAACCTCCATACCCCAATTCATGCTTCTGGAAGCAACTGTTAGCAGTTCCCTGTTTATATTTTTGTTTTATAGGTATACAACCTATATATAATATATTATATATAATGCATAAACTATTATTTTCATTTTTTACTTAGTCATGCATCCTGAAGATTAGATATACCACATTTTAAAAACAGATGCACAGAGTTTCATCATATGAATATACCTTATTTATTTCTCTAACCAGTCTTCTATTAATAAGTTCTTAGACTGTTTTCTGTCTTTTGTGCAGGTAAACTTCTAATATATTTTTCAATGGCTGAATGTTTTCCTGTGTTCCTGCTCTCCTGAGAGAGTTGTTAGTATCTCTTACTCAGTGAGTGATCTCCCTAGAGATCAAAACTGAACTAGACTCCTAGCTAGGAGTCTTAATATTAATAATAGCAGCTAAAAATCTATGGCGAACTTGCCATATGCTAGATACTATATTAGCTACCTCACATGAATTAATACAATTATCATTACTCCCATTTTTTGGTGGTACTGGGACTTGAATTCAGGACTTTGTGCTTGCTAGACAGATGATCTACCACTTGAGCCAAATCTCCAGCTCTTTTTGCTCTGGTTATTTTGGAGGTAGGGTCTCACTTTCTTTTGCCCTGGCCAGCCTGGACTTTGATCATCCTATTTTATGCTTCCTGCTGTCACTGGGATGACAGGCATGTGCCATTATGCCCAGCTAATTTTCGTTGAAATGAGATCTTACAAACTTTTTTGCCTGGACTACTCTGAAACTACAATCTTCCTGATCTCAGCCTCCCATATAGCTTGGGCTGATAGGTGCATGCCCAGTTATTTGTTGAGATGAGGTCTCACTAACTCTTTGCCTAGGCTGGCCTCAAATCATGATCCTCAGCCGGGCGCCAGTGGCTCATACCTGTAATCCTAGCTACTTAGGAGGGAGAGATCAATCAGGAGGATGGTGGTTTGAAGCCAGCCCAGGCAAATAGTTTGCGAGACCCTATCTCAGAAAACCTTTCACAAAAATAAAAGTCATGATCCTCCCTATCTCCACCTCCCAAGTAGCTAGGGTTAGAGGTATGAGCCACTGGCGCATGGTTTGTCACCTCCATTTTATCAAAAAGAAAATTGGTTAAGTGACTCACTCAAAATTAAATAGCTAGTCATGGGAGAGCTGAGGTTTATTCAGTTGTTCCAAGATCTGCACTCTTAACCACTAGCTATATTGCCTGTCAAACCTCAAGTGGAACATTGACGTCTTACACAACTGCCAAAGAAGAGTAGTCTCAGGGGTGAAAAATCTTAGACCATTCCAGCCTTGGGCAGGATATTGGACTAGGCTAGTGATTCTCAAACCTATTTGCACATCAGTGTCATCTGGGGCAAACCAGACCTTCTGAATCAGAACATTCTGGTGACCGAGACTATTACTGATGTTACGAATGCCTGTTAAGAAATTCACAAAAGAAGAAGTGCAAATGGCCAGTTAACGTAGGAAAAACTGTTCAACCTCAAGAATAAACGCAAACTGAAACAACTATGAGACACCATTACATATTTTAGATTAACCAATTTGCCAGACACACTTCCCAAAGTCCTGAAATACAAGGGCAACTCTTGTGCTATTATAACCACTGTTTTCTCTGATTTAGATGCCTGTTCTTATCTGCTGAGAAATAGCTGTAGCTGAAAAAAAAGCAATGAATAAATTTTTTTCTGTAAGAGGTAACTGCTAGTTAAGTGTATCAGTGTCCAGTTTGTTTACTATTTATTAATATATCAAATTCTGAAGTCTTCTAGTTGATATTTGACACCAAGATCGTATTGTTGTAATTTCAGCTTTAATCAAAGCAAAGCAGTTTTATTGAATGAATACAGTACTTCACTATTTTTCACTTCTTCCATTTATGCATTCCCTCAGCTAATGTGTGCTGATCATCTGGCGTGTGCCTAGGCACTGGGGATGAAAACAGTGAATGAGACAGACAGTTTCTGCTCTCATGAAGTTCACCCCCCAACACTGGAGTTAAATAACAGAACAGGACTATTTGCTTTAGTTTGCTGTACTCTGCTCTTATAAACAACCTTTTTCTTTATGTAGTCATGTTTGAAGGATATGATTTGACTCTATTGTGTATAACTCCAAATGCCCAACAAAGTTCTGACATCATTAGCTTTGATACGCTTCAACTCATGCTTTACTCATTTGTGGTGGTATTAGCCCACTTTAAGTCTTTTAAATGGATATATGGAGCCAGCTCTGCTTATTTGTAGTATGTACATTTATATACTGATTAAGTTTTGATAATTGCTTTCAGAATCAACAAGCCAAAATAGCACAATTGTACCTCCCATTTGTTGGACTGCTTTTGGAAATATACAGCGACTAGCAGGTCGAGATACTTTGTATTCCGTGCGCGCCATGCCTAATTCTGTAGGTATTAATGCAGCTTTGGCTGCAGTTTTTTATCCTCTTACTGAATGCATTTGGAACTGGGGTTGGATGCTGTATGGTCTCAGTCTCGAGACTCCAGGTTTTACTCCATGTTTACATTTCCACTGTATTTCCTAAGCATGCTTCTCAAACTTAATATGTACATGAATCACCTGGGGAATTTGTTAAACCAGACTTAATTCAGTAGGCCTTGAGCGGGCCTTAAGAACTATTTCTAACAAGCATCCAGCTGCCTCTGGTTCAAGGTCTAAGAAAACACAAGAATCTCTTGCACCCAGTGTTTTGTTCTTAAGATTTTCTGCTATTAATATGACTAAGATAGATTTATTCAATTTGAGAACAAACAAAAGATTCTTCACTTTCATTGAGGTCTATTCCCGATGGGGCTTCTGTACTATAGCCACGCATCGTTGGAAACGCCTCATACAGTAATTGTGTGGTTTT